AGCTAGCAAAAATGGACTCGGTTTCACTCCGAAAACCACCCGACAATGTCTGTATATTTTTATTTCTTTTCGCATATAATCAGACCACCAAAAAAATCTCAGAAAGTTCCTATCATTTGGTGAAATACTTATTTGTAAGAAAGCCTTTTCAATATCCGCTGTGATACCAAAGATTCCTATTCTGAACCTCATTAATAACAATGGAATCAGTTCGATTAGGTTAGGCCCTGTTTGCAAGCAATTATTCAAGAAATTACCATTATCATCTTTAGCTGACGCATCAAACACGGGTCTAACCTTTGTAGTTTTACTTGATTCTTTGATCACAGCATGATGGGGTAAATAATGTGGAACATTCTCACCAATGTCACCTCCTTCTCCGACTTGTTCTATAATACCAATTCCCTCCCATTCGACCAGTACCTTCTCGTATTCTTCAAATTTATTCATTGCGAGCAGTTTCTTTGTGGTACTTTGAAGCCGTGCTTGAGCCAAATTTTCATTGCTAGAGAGTTTTGAATGTCCTTCTATCCATGGTAGTTGAATTTCGTATCTTCCTTCCTCATTGATTTCGATTGTGTCGTTGAACTGCCTGATGGTATCCTCCTCTACAGAGTCCTTTGATTTCACTTCAGCTGGATCTTTGATTCCTAAAATATCTAAACTCCATAAATCTGCCAAAGTACAATTTGTTACACCAGAAAAAGTTGTTCCATTCGAATTATTGTTCAATTGCCCCATTACAGTCCACCCAAAGTAAGTTTCTACGGCGACTAGTGTATCATCAAAATTTTCGATATTTCCAGTAAGTAGTTTCCCAAAAATATCAGCTCCTAACAATAACTCGATTTCGCTTGGTGCATCTTCTATATAGATTTCATTCAAAATTATATTTTTCTTTTCCAAATCCTTTATATACGCCAAATTCTTTAATCGAGGAAGAGTATGGCAAATTTTGTTTTGTTCTAGGACTTGTAATTCAATTTCGAAATTTTTGTTCATATTTTGAATAACAATATCGTAAACTCCGTGTGCTTGAGGTGCTGTTTGCATACCACCAAAAACACCCTGTACGATAGTTTGATCACTCTTTTTGACAAATCCTAAATCTTTGACACATTGTGACAGTATATATGAGTTTTGTGAAGCAGAATCTAATAATGCTCTGACAATCTTCTCTTTACCATTGTTCACGAGTCTAACGAGAATGGTTTGTGATAGAGTATCATTATGAAGATTGGTTGTCAATACATTATCGATTCTGTTTTCGCTAATAATTTCTCGCGAACTACTCTCTTTCTTTTCATCAGGTAAGTCTGCGCACATGACAGGATAATGTTTCCTTTCGCAAATCAAACACTTCATTATAGCTCTACAATTTCTACTAGTATGATTGATTTTTAAGCAAGAAAAACAAGCCCTTTTACTCGTTACCTTTGCTCTCCTTTCTTCCAAAGTGAGAGCCTGTGCTTTCAAACAATCTTGGCTCAAATGTGATTTATCGCAAAATATACACATTGGAATATTCTTACCCCCACTGACTGTATTAATGTTTACTTCTCTCACTGGCTGAATAAAGTGCAGATGCTGTATACAATTCAGGATCTTCTTGCTTTTGCTGTTTTCCTCTGGAAATGCTTATGTTTCTGTTTTGTATATTTTCTGCCTTGAAACTAGTCTGTGCGAGGTTGATTCTTTCTTCCGATTCTACTTCTCTTCTCATAAAATCTAACAACAATGATAAAAGATTAGTATTTTTTATATTTCCTCCGCTTGCTTCACCCGCTGCTTGTGCTTCACTCTCAGAAGTTCATCTGGCAAAGCAGACTCAACTAGAGGAAAAAGCATTGCTGCGTATTTATCACTGGTCACCCCCAGCGATTCTAAGGCTCTTAGTTGTGTTTCTATTTTATCATATAAACTACTCAAAGTCATACTCATCTTTGTTTTGGTTGCCTGCTTCAGTACCAAATCCAATAGTTCCCGTACATACACCTCGATTAGGAATTCATCCCTAGCGAAACGTAACTTCATTTGGTCCATGGCTTTTAAATAGTTGGATCCGGAGGGTGGAAAGCTCTCAATCAAGTCTCTGGCCACAGTACCTTCTTTAGTTGCTTGTAGTAAATACTGAAACTTGTCCTCCATCTCAATTTCTTCATCTTCGTGGATCTTTTTGAACTGGCCCCAGAATCCTATCCAATTTCTCACGTTGCCATCAAATTTCTTCACTTCAAGTTTCGGTAGTTTGAAATTCCTCTTCTTGTTCTTGTCTCCAGTGGAACTCTGCGAATGGGTCATCTGATCTTCTTTCTTCTCGTTCAGGAATACCTCATATCTTGATTTGAATTTGATAATTTCTTCCCGGTACATTTCCACTTCATCAAATTCTCTTTCTAATTCTTCTTCACATGTATCAGATAAAAATAAACTTTCTCGTATATGTTCATCCAATGAAAACAGTCTCTCGCTTTTGTCCTCCAACTGTCTTATCAAAGCTAGCACTTGTTCTTCGCTCACTGACTTGTCTGTAAGTGCTAGGTTCAATTCTCCACTCGTTTTGTTGAAGAGTCTTCGTAGCTGCTCCCTTTCTTTCTTTAGGTTTTCCATCACCGATTAGTCCTGTCACGGTCGCCACAAATGTTGTAATTGGGATGGAAAATAATAAATTCAAAGGAACTTTTGACGTGTTTTAATGACTTCTTTAATATATCTTGTCACTATCCCAAAATCAACAACTCCGTATACATAGTGATGAGAACCAGAACACAATAATGAATGATATTCTCAACAGCCTTGATTTTGTCCCTACTAGTGTGACGTCACGAAGGCGATGCTCCGGCCCGGTAAGATAGAGTAGGCCCTGGTATAATACACTTTTTTTGTGACAGAAGGAAGGACGAATCAATATTGAGAAGATATTACATTATTTTGAAATCTGAAAATTATCGACGTTCAATTTCAAGTTTTTAACAGTAGGGACACCTGCGTTATAGGCACGTTATGATTCTTTTGAAGTAATCAAATATCTGATGTCACTTCTGTCAGTCTAATTATGTGATTTGATTTCAAAAAATTGCGAAATTAGTGGTTGTTTAGTAATAAACGTAACCGCGAAGTCGAATGGAAGATAAAAGGACTTGCAGTTCTTTCTCAGAGACGGTATTGCTGACTCATTTTTCGGAACTATAGCACAACAAAAGAGATCAAGAGCGTATATATATACAGGGTGTTTCAAAAAAACCTAACCCCCTTGCTAGGGTAGGTAGAACATTGCAAAATATGTTGGGTTTGCTCGGTAAAAAAATGTCGTAACGCCATCCGTTTTCAAGATACAAGGTGTTGAAACAATATTTTTTTTACACATTTTTCACGATTATGTTGAAACTACTGGCAACATTGTGATGAAATTTTTTATGGATGTTTCTTGGAATCTGACACATCACATGCATTTGTTTTTATATCTGATTCTAATAGAGGGCGCTAGTTACACGGTTCGTACCGAGTAGTTTTGAACATAACTTTGTTGAGGTTTGATTTTTCGATCCAAATTTGATGTGAATTTGAACATCTTACAATTTCACACCAAAAGGGTACTCGTGGTAAAACTCGATACTGTGTTCCGTTTTCGGGATATTTAGATTTGAAAATGATGAAGTGGTAACAGTTGCTGGTATAAAAGCTATGTATTAGAGTGAGTATAATGAAAAATTATCACCTATTTATTGAAAACCGAAAACAACAATACATTTCTGATGCAAAACTCATTGATTTAACAATGAATCACAAGAATAATATCGAAACAGATTGGACTAAGAACATGGATTACACAGTTTTGTTGTATCTTGAGCAGGAAGTCTATGCCACATAGGTAAATCCACGTCAAGAGTTGTGAGACATAATTGAACATCACTTAAATGACCTAACAGCTGATCCTCAACTGTTCAGAAGACTAATCCATTCTTAAAAAAAGAATATAGAATCGTGTATTCCTCGAAACGTAGGATATTTTGAACACTTACTCAAACTGATTCAATATTTCATGTTTCTAGTCAAATATCTCTTAATTTTTTAATCATGCTTCTTTGTTCCATCAATAATTTCAGCACAAGAATAATTTCATTGTTTCTGAACCTGAATAAATAGGTAATTGAACTCAATAAAATTCATTTTATACCAGCATCAGCTATTACTCCATTATTTTCAAATCTAAATAATCCGAAAACGGAACATAGTATCGAGTTTCACCAAGAGTACCTTTTTGGTGTAAAATTGAATGATGTTCAAGTTCAAATTATATTTGGATTGACAAATCTAACCTCAAAAAAGTTATGTTCAAAACTACTCGGTACGAACCGTGTAACTAGCGCCCTCTATGAGAGTCAGATATGAAAACAAATTCATGCGATGTGTCAGATTTCAAGAAACATCCATACAAAATTTCATTACAATGGTGCCAGTAGTTTCGGAATAATCGTGAAAAATGTGTAAAAAATAATTTTTTCAACACCTTGTATCATGAAAACGGATGCCGTTACGACATTTTTTCAATGAGCAAACCCAACTTATTTTGCAATGTTCTACCTACCCTAACAAGGAGATCAGGTTTTTTTGAAACACCCTGTATATGTGATATATATCCGGGAAACAAGTACTCACTTTTTCCCACGGGAAAAAAGTAATTTATGAAAAGTGACATTCTATAACCTACCAACAGAGATGAAATGCCAAACATTTTTCCCGTCACAGAAAAAAAGTAGGTACTATTCTTATTACCTTTTTCCCTCGCCCTTGATCAAAATTTCAGAAAACACTCAATATATCCAAATTGGACATAACAAGTTAGGTAGAAGTATAAAAATTGGTTATTTTATGGAATGAAAATGTCATCACCAATTATGGAACATTTTACTTTACGCAACTGGTTACGTGAAGTAACATTTCAAAACTTCTGTCAACAAGTTTCAAATTACATGTCAAAATTAGAAAAAAATACTTACGCTATTGCCTCCTCACAAGTCCTGGATTTCATAGCTCTTTCCAGTTCAGGTTTAGCAGAAATCTCGGTCAATACTACCACCTGTCCTTCTTTCCTGGCGTTCAGTTTTGTATTCATACCTTAATTGAAAAATACCAATTATTTAGAAGTAATGCACACTGGTGTGAGACGATTGCCAGTTAAGCTAAGGACCATTTTATGCAGAATCGGCGGAATATATTCTTATTCTTATATGGTATGTATGAAACTCATTTGAATCCTTTATTATGTATTCAAAAATATGTTTCGAAAATAATATTCCGTAAATCATCTGATTATCCATCAGCATCATTATTTTTAGAGATTAATATATTGAATGTTAGGCAATTATTCTACAGTGTGTCCACCTTAAGGACTTACCACCCCTGTAAAATTGTTATTATCTGACAGATTTCAAAAAACTTCTTTTTGTTGGATAATCGTGGCAAACTGCGACCAACTTTATTGACCCATATTTGAGAAAGCACTATTAGGGATTTTTTTTCACAAAAAACAATGATGGATTCTGAATCACGATCACTTGATGATGATGACACAGGGTGTCCGAAAAAACGAATTATGTTTCTTTTCAATAGGTGATCAGAAAATGAAGTATTGTGGTATTTTTGAGAAGAATTGATGACACATTATTATTGAGGATCACTTTGAACATATCTGTACCGATTTTCATCATTCAAAAATACGATGTGAATGAGAAAACAATTAAAAAGAAAAAGTAGGCAATATTTTTTCATCAACTCAAAAAAATATTAATTTGATTGTTCGAACACCCTGTGTTTAATGATGATGAAAATCGGTACAGGTATGTTCCAAGTGATCCTGATTCATTTTTTTATTTTGAGTGAAGAATTATCAGGATGAAAAATATTGCTTACCTACCTATCCTTTTTAATTTTTTTCTCAGGCACATTCAAATGACGAAGATTGGTACAGGTATATTTGAAATAATCCTCAATGATAATTTGTGATTATTTCTTTCTAGAAAAACCACAGAACTACATTTGCTGATCACCAATTTGAAGAAAATGATTATTCGTTTTTTCGGACACCCTGTGTTTTATGATGATGAAAATCGGTACACGTATATTTCAAGTGGTACTGATTCAGAATCCATCATCAAGTTTCGTGGGAAAAATTCCTAATAGTACTTTCTGGCATATGGGTCATTGAAATTTGTCGCAGTTGGCCACGATAACAGTCCAAGAATTAGATCACTCTCTCGTTGGATGAGCATTTCAAATACCTATGCAACAAAAAAAGGTTTTTTGAAATTGGTCGGATAATAACGATTTTACAGGGGTGGTAAGTCCTTAAGGTGGACACACTGTATAAGGCGTCAATAATCTTTATCAAAAAGAATCCGGCAATAATTGATAAAATCAATCATATTTATGGTGAAAGAAACAAAATCAACAATGTACGACTTGAAAAACATATGCTTAGAATTCAAGAAAATCATTCTAGTTTTATTGGATCCAACATTTATAATAAATTACCATCAAAATTAAAACGTCTAAATATCATAACTTTAAAAAAAGTAGTTAAAAGTTAACTTATAGAAAATGCGAAAAAATCGATGATCTTTCTAAATCAACTCTATTTTTATTCATTTTAATGTATCCTCATTATTGTATGAATTGTTTATTTGTTTTCAGTTCAACTATTTATATTGTGGAAAAACAATTCTATACGCGGAATAATTCATCTCTTTCACACAGCAAGTCACTAACCTATATGAAGGAGAAACAATATGAAATACAGGATGTTGCGAAATTCGACCGACAACGCTTGACAGGTGATAGCCCTCGTGATTTCATAATCACTGAGATAGGGACATACGGTCTTCAAGTGTTCGGTTCTCGAGATACAGGGCGTTGAAGTTAAGAAATTTAAATAGGATTTTCGCAATATCAAGAAAATTTAACATAATGCATTCAGACTCGCTATATGGTTTCATCTTTCAATAGCTAATTTTTTGACCAGAAAGACATTCCGAGAATTTCATCCAGAGGTGCGCTACAGAGGGTTGTGATAACTTTTCCTCCCATATTTTCTACGCCACTGATAAAATTTCGATTATTTCCAATTTCTCCGATTGATTGCTCAATTATGTTGAAAAACTGCATCATCTCCAACTGAGCTAAAATGAACAGTTATCGCGATATTTGACCCAAAATAGAAGTTCGCATAGTAATTATTCGAGTAATTTTTCATCTTCTTCAGTAGTAGAAGATTACAATAGTACATTGTTTACCGGGTAGGAAAAGCTTAACATTCCTGGGCGACTGTGAAGATTGCTAGTCGAGGCGCAAGCCGAGACTTAGCAACACAGAGTCCAGGAATGTGGCTTTTCCTACGAGGTAAACATACTATTTTTCCGCAAATCGTTTAAAATTCGACAGGTATTGATTGATTTAAAAAAAAAACGCGATAATTTTATTCCCAAATAAATGGTGCTTTGAAATTCCTGATAAAATTACTTGGATTACTATGGAAACGTATTGAGGTTGAATTGTCAAACTTGACGCTTATAAATTTAATTGCTGGTGTTCTCGAAAGTAAAATGATAAGTGATGATGAAATTTCCATTCCTGGGACTCCTCCAGAGCTGGTTGAGGCAGTGAATACTGCTTCATTAGAATTATTGCCAAAGAAATCAAGAGAAAAGTACGAAAATGCATACAGACGTTTTATGGATTATCGCATGAGTAAAAATACGAGTTCTTTCTCAGAAAATGTTGTAATGGCATACTTCCTAGACCTTTGTGTAAAGATGAAATCTTCAACATTATGGGCCAATTATTCAATGCTGAAGTCAACCCTTGCAATTGAACACAATGTAGATATATCTACATACTCAAAACATCGTTCTTTATTGAAACGGCAAGCTCAACGTTATAGGGCAAAGAAATCTAAGATTTTAACGAAGGAAGAAATTGAAAAATTTATCCAGGAAGCTCCAGATAAAGAAAATTTAATGATTAAGGTAATTTATAAGGTTTTAATTTCTATTTAGATTATACCTTTATTTATTTTTTAGGTGGCTGTAATATTTGGTATTTCTGGGGCCTGTAGAATGGATGAGTTAGTCCGAATGACTGTACACGATATAGAAGACCTAGAATCTAAGCTTTTAATCAGCATACCTGATTCGAAAACCAACAAACCAAGATCATTTGTAATTAATCAGATCTACTTGAATGTTTATCGAAAGTATGTTTCGTTAAGACCAGAAAATATGAACAGTGACCGATTTTTCTTCAAATATCAAAGCGGAAAGGGTTGTAGACAAGTGGTAGGAACTCATCAATTTAGAAAAATGCCCAAAATAGTTGCTACTTATTTGAACTTGGTAAATCCGACAGAATATACTGGTCACTGCTTTCGTCGGTCTTCTGCAACAATATTGGTTGACTCTGGTGCCGACATAACTAGTTTAAAGAGGCATGGCGGATGGAAGTCATCAAACGTTGCTGAAGGATATATCGAAGAATCGCTTAACAATAAGGTTGAGGTGGCAAATAAAATTTTCACAGTACAAAATATTCAACAAAATAACCCTACCACCCCGCATGTTGTCCAAAATGTTTCTCATAGTTCTGACAGTGTTCCTCCAATGTTCAATAATTATTGTACTAACTGTCAAATTACTGTAAATATAACAAATTGATCTTAAAAATGTATTCAGCAATGACTTGATGTTTTCAAAATATAAATTAATTCCTTATAAGCAATGTGTTTTCAATCATTTATGTAGAACACTAACAACTGTACGGAAATATCATTTCCTTACAGTAAGGAAATGACATTTCCTTACAGTAAGGAAGTCCTGACTTTTTCTTCAAGAAATTTTGACAGGAATGTCAAAATTTCCTAGCGATATGCGGAAAAAATTTTTGTTTTCTCTTTATGCGTGGGATATCTATTTCTGTTCAGCTACAGAATGAGATCTGAACAGTATCTAATCTACTCACCACCAGGAAAATATTTTTGCAATGTTCTACTACTGTAAATGATGAAATATTACTATGCAATCTTCTATTTTGGGTCGAATATCTCGAAAGCTGTTCATTTCAGCTCAGTTGAAGGTGATACAACAATGAATTCGAGGAACAGGAAATAATTGAACTTTTAATCAGTGGCTTAGAATATATGGGAGGAAAAGTTGTCATACCTCCCTGTAGGGCACCACTGGATAGAATGGCCGGAATAGATTCCTGGTCAAAAAATGACCCATCCAAAGATGAAACCATATACGGAAGCTGAATGCATTATATCCAATTTTTCTTGAGATATTGCGAAACAACTATTATTATTTCTTAACTTGAACTCCCTGTATCTCGAGAACTGAACACTTGGAGACCGTATGTCCCTATCTCAGTGATTATAAAATCACGAGGACTATCACCTGTCAAGCGTTGTCGGTCGAATTTCGCAACACCCTGTATATATACAAGTAATTGATATTCAAAATGACAAAATGTAGATTTCACTAGATTCAATAAATGAATAAATAAAAAAAAATTTAAAAATTATAGATTCGAGAAGACAAATTTTTAAAGATCGTTAAGAACTGTAATTTTCACACTCACATATGCCGTACAAATTGTACCAATAGTTCTCCAAATCGGTCTGACTCCTGAAATTGAACGACATCCTGGGATACATCTTGTCTTCAATCAAATTATACGAGGGCCGACTGCTCGTAGTATCAAACAACGAAGCTTTCCTGTTCAAATAGATGAAGAACTGGTCTTTTTCCTTGTATTTTTTTGGGCCGTACTGCACAAGGCCGCAGTAGGCCAGCCTGGTGATGGAATCATGGATGCTGAAGAGATACCTCCTCTTGAACAAAGTGACACTTCGGATGGACTCGGACAGATCTTTCACTAAATAGAACCTGGAATTTCGGAAATTATAATAATAATCTTTATTATTCCCAAGAAACATTTATGTTTATAGCAGGCAAAATTATGAAAGGGCAACTAAAAAAAAAATTAGATAATCAGATAATCATTTTAAAAAAGCGTACATACAAGTATTAAAAAGAGAGGATTTCGGGATCCTAGTTCTAGTTGTGTAAAACTGGCTCAGCCAATGCTTTGTGTTTTCGAGACCCTATGACAACTTTACTGTCAACATTTGGTGAACAATCATTCCCGATAGCCCGTTTTATGCAGAATAGGATGACGTTAATTTCTCTCTGTAATATACTTGTACGCTTTTTTTTTTAATGTGACTGTACTTATAATGTTGTTTCTTCTAGATGCTGTTGAATATAAGTTCTTGAATTGATTTAGGATGATGTAAGAGAATCAAAGAAATAAGTATTTTTTCAGTTCTTCTTTGAATTTCTCAACACTCAATTTTTTCTTCAGTCTGGCAGGTAATTCATTATAGAGAATTGTTCCATAGTATAAAATATATCTTTTACCCATACAATAAATAATAATAATGATAAAATGTTTATTGAAGTACAAAATAACAAAAATACATGTGTTTAAATATCATTGTACTTCAAAAGGCAAATAGTTTGCAAGCCATTCTTCATGTATATCTGATTCAATTTTGATGAGAGTTAACATATCTTTTTGTCTGGTTATGTGTTCGTGTTTATGACTATCGACTTCAAAATTCAAATTTGAATGTTTATAATAATTATATTTGACGGAAAGGATGAAATTTAATATTTTGAATTTGTGAATGGAGTTAATATCTAACAATTGCCTAAGTTTATAAAGATTTCATGTTGGTTCCAAGTAATCTAGTTTGTATATACATTTGATAACTTTGTTTTGAAGGATTTTGATTGGCTTCATAATTGATAACCTAGCTGTACCCCAAACTGAAATCAAGTACTGTAATTTTGAATAAACCAAGGAAAATATATACATAAGTATTTCAAAGGGATTTGGTGTCTGATCCTGTAGAGTACTCCGATTACTGGAGATATTTTCTTTCTGATCGATTCAATACTGCTGTATATACTCTCACTCAGTATATAGTCAGTCAGGTTTGGTTTGGACTGACACATGTCATTGTTAGATGTTGTAATCAACGCAAGTTTCAATAAAGATATATTTTGTGAGTGCAATCCTTAATTGCGTGAACGCAACAATTTGGCGACGAGGATATTAGAACAGCTTAGGGCAGCTTAGGGCTACAAACTAAGACTACAAGTGTGTGAGTTCTAGGGCTACAAACTAGGACTACAAGTGTGTGAGTTCAATCAGAATTTCAAGAGGAAGTTGAATAAGGCGCGACGATGGAAGGTGAGGGAGAAGACATCCAAGATCTTCGAAGCCACCTTCACGTTTATCTTATGATTGATTATTGTTATTCTTATGTAAAAAAAAAAACGGAACGGAGAAATATTGTATATACTCTCTCTCAGTATATAGTCAGTCAGGTTTGGTTTGGACTGACACATGTCATTGTTAGATGTTGTAATCAACGCAAGTTTCAATAAAGATATATTTTGTGAGTGCAATCCTTAATTGCGTGAACGCAACAAATACGTTTGGACCATGTAATTATAATATATATCATTTCTCATTTTTTAATAATTATTATTGAGAGTCATTTATGTACCAAGGATGAAACAATGTCTATTATAGACGAGTTTGCAAATTGATAGTCGAGGCCTTAGCCGAGGTTAGCAATCAGGCGAGACTTCAGACAGTTTTCGACGAGATGCATATTAAATTTTTTCGTCGACCTGAAACATTTATTTCCACATCACTGTACTATTCACACGTGAAATCTATGGAATTTCGTGAATAAATAATTTGACAACAGCAAATGACAGTTGTTGTCAACTCAATCTCCGTGCGGACCAGGGTTGCCAATTCGATTTTTATTCCATCAGTAGACACCTTGTGAAAAATTTAGTAAATTTCAGTAGATCTGTTCAAGATCCATTTTATGCTATACGAATTCCAAAACAGGATAATGAAATAAAACTATGACGTCAAAACATTATGTACTTTTAGTAAACAGAAAAGAAACCTATTTCCAACAAAATAGAAACAAACAAAACAAATATTCTCATATAAAAATAATCATATATACAGGGTGATTCACATAACAACCGACATAGGGCAGGGGCATGTAAGGGGTCCCAAAATATGGCAATTTAACGCAACTTACCTCTATACCAAGTTGCTTCCCTAAGGAGTTATAGACATAGCACTAACAGCATGTCAACTTGCTCGTTAAAAGAAAACTTCCCGTTCATTTTAAAAACACTCAAACAACAATTACTTAATTGAACAACTCACTTGCCTCATTGTCAAGTTTGACGTTTATTTTCATAGCCAACTTTTGAATTTTCGATGATTTTAAATAACACACCTAGAGCGCGCGTTTTCAGTTATTCGAGTTTTTGATGAAAATGATGAGGTTTTTCGAAAAATTACTAGAGTAAGAAAAGTTTCAGAATTGAATTGCCCACATAACAAAGCAAAGATTTTTCAAATCCATCGAGGGTTAACAAAATTATGTTGAATATTGATGGTGCGCCACCTGGTATACCCGCTTTACAAATTTCAATTAAACTCTAGTTACTGTCAAGTAACGCCCTAAATACATCCACAAAGTGTACCAAATTTGGTTGCTTTAAGTTCAAGAATAACGGAGATATTGATTTTTTTCAAAATTTATACTTTCACTTTCAAAGCCTATATCTCCTTAGGGAAGCAGCTTGGTATAGAGGTAAGTGGTAAGTTGCGTTAAATTGCCATATTTTGGGACCCCATACATTCCCCTGCTCTATGTCGGTTCTTATGTGAATCACCCTGTATATAAAGGAATCTCAAATTTAATCGTTACTGGCCCAGCGATGCAACGTCTTTGATATTCAGCAATTCTGCAGGAGAGTAGGCAATGAAGACAAATCAAATGGGTAGGCTATGATAACAACCAAATGAATTTCAAATACCTTCTAAATATTTATAGAGAATTCAAGTGGCAACAGCGTGAACTCCAAAAAGAAAATTATAAACATATTGAGTTAGGAACACAAATTGACGGCAACATTTTTGTGAGCGACATGACAAGAGATAATTCATATTTCTGTATGTCTTCCTTCTCTTTCAATACATAGCATGGTTCTTCTGTGTACATCTCGTACTGCATTTCTAATAAACTGAGGCCTTATATCCTCTACACTTGTCCGAATGGTGTTCTCCAAATGGTCAATATCGTTAAAAGGCCTGTGCTTGTACACTTGCTGCTTCAGATGATCCCACAAGAAAAAATCCAGAGGGGTTAAGTCAGGAGAACGAGGTGGCCAGTGATGTTCCCAATTATTAACAATTATTTTACCTCTGAATGTTTCGCCGAGAAAATATCGAACTTCTCTGGAATTGTGAATAGGTGCACCGTCCAGCTGATACCACATAACTTGAATATCTTGTACGGGCATATTGTCTAAGATATCACCAAGCTCATTCGTCGAAAAATCCAAGAATCGCGCAGCGTTCAAGTTTCCTCTGAAAAAGTATGGTCCGATAACTTGACTGTTCAATACACCACAAAAACATTCGTCTTGAATGAGTACTGGTCACGACATTCACCACCTACAATTTTGTGAGCTAACAGTTCCGTTTGAAGTGAAAGTAGCTTCATCGGTCCACAATATTTTATATGGAAATCTGAAATCTTCTTCGCATTTTCCTTGAAACCACGCTGAAAACCCGTATCGAACATCAAAGTCCCTTTCTTTCAAGGTATTGATGAATTTCGGCTTGTAAGGTCTGAATCTATTTTTTTTTTCAGAATTCTTACTATGCTGCTTCTGCTTACATCCATTCTTCTGCTTATCTGAGTAATGCTAGATTTTCAATTGCACTTCCTCATTGTTCTTCATTGAACTATGTGGTTTTTTGAAATCATTTAAAATGGAACCTCTACTTCTGAATTTGAAGATTCTATTAACAGTCGACTGCTGTATATTTCTTTTCGGATATAGTAAATTAAAATCTTAAGCAACTTGTCGATGGGATGTTTCTTCCCCACACATTAAAATGATCTCAATTTTTTCTTGTATCGATAACATACGGTTCATAGCTGGGCCAGTAGCAATTATATTCAAGATAGATTTGTTTCATAAAAATACTAAATATTACTGGGATACATGAAGTAGTTCGATGATATTTTGATCGATGGCTCCGGCATCTTTTCAGTACTGGAAAAATCAGTTTAAATGAATTTCGTTTGTAAATGCTTGACGATATTCAACTTTGCATCAAACATAACAGAATCTGGAAGCGGGTATTATCATTTTCTGAAGAAAATCATATTTCTGTCCATAATCAGTGATAAGCTACTGGTATCAAGTAGTTTTGTGGAATTAACAATTCTTCAAATATTACAGCAATTTCGAAAAATTTAAAAAACAAATAAAAATCTAAAATTTGCAATAGAAAGATCAAATTTGAGAATCATGTGTAAAATTGAAATAGAAACATCTTTTTCAAGTAAACTTTTTCGATATTCGAACAAATAAGCCTACTTTCAGCGATTAATTTGAAAAAATTTCACTTTCGACATGTAGCGAAAGTCACGTGACCCCGATTGAGTAGGCCATTTTACATGTTTTTTGAAGCAAAACTTGACGTTCAACTCGAATTTCAAAATAAGTCATTAATACAAGTTTTTCCCATATGATGCCGACTTAATGAATGACTCGTAGACACACGCTTATTTTTTTACATTAAATATTGTGGTCGACCCGACTTCCAGTTCGTTTTTTCTCCTGTTGAAAAATACTGGACCACTTTGAGAATGGATGGTTTCCATGACTTAAATTAGTAACCGTTGACCTTCCTTTGAAGTTGCTCATAATGGGGCAACCGAGTGACGGATAAAATAATATTAGAACATTAGAAAACTTTTTGTCTATCCCGATACTCACCTTTTGATGGGATGCCGCAGGGTCTCGGTGAGCTCGGGCAAGTGGAAGCTGCAGCTGTGCACCTTGCAAAGAACTGAAACGGGCAACCGGAGGATGACGTCGCACATCAGCGCCCATCCCTCCGACCAGCTTTTGTGGTGCGGCAAAGGCGGTATGAACATCTTCCAGCTGATTTCTTTGCAGTACACCTGAATCGCAATTTTTGAACTTGTGAAATTAGAGTGCTTCGAATATCTCATTTTACGCTCTTTGGAGAGTGAAGAATTGAAAAAGATTCAACGGAATAAATAAATTTGGTCATAATGTAGATATTTTCACTAGTTTATGGACAATCTCGGTCTTTTGAACTTTGATTGATCACCTGGGTCATAATCAACTGCATTTCGAAGAAGCTGATTCTCATGAACCTCAGCTTTCTCGAAAGTCTCAATGTTTCGTTCTCTAATGACTGACACGATTGAAGGGAGTTTCAGATCCCTGGCGATCTGGTTATTCCGAACATACCAAGGAGATCCTGTCACCATTCTCGATTTTGTTTGTAATGTTTGTAATCTGGTGATATGAGATTTAGCTGTGTGGCCCCAGACTACAGAGGCATAATGGTAAAATTGACCTGATAGCCATGATGTAAATATTCAATTTTTGTCTCGAACCCAATTTACTTCGTCTGTTTAGAAATGGATACAGGGCTCCAATGGCTAGTTTAGCTTTGAAACTTGCTGTTCAATGTGCTGGGCCCAGGTGAGCTTTTTGTCAATGCACACACATAAGTATTTAACTTGTGAAGCTCACTCTAACTCATGACCATCCAGGACTATTCTGTTTCTGGGAGGCCGCCGCTCCCTTCCGAGTGCGACCAATTCTGTTTTTGTAGGATTCAATTTGATCATCCATCTTAGGAAGTACTCCTGAAGAGAATTCAGCGCGCTTTGGAGGTTCATAGCTGCTTGCTCGAAATTTGTCGAATATGCAAGAACTGCCGTATCATCAGCAAAAAGCGACATCTTGCACATCACTGGTCTCGGCAAATCGCTAGTATATAAACTGTACAACAGCGGCAATAAAACTGCACCCTGTGGAACACCGGCTTCAATGGGCTTGATACCAGATCGTTGATCATCAAGTTTCACTTGAAAAGTTCGATTTTTCAGAAATGAACACATCAACTGAATCAAATCGTCAGGAAAGCCCATATCGATCATTTTGTACAAGATATCATCATGCCACACCTTGTCAAAAATGCTTTCGCTATGTCAAGGAGAGCAAGATGGGTCTTTTGTCATCATTTCACAACGATATTGTGTTCTCAATGAGTCTCAATACTTGTAGTTCAGTTGAGTGGCCAGTTCCGAAACCGAACTGCCAACCATTTCTATGAGAGCGAAAAAAGCGCTGCGTTTTGTACGTCAGATGAATGATGAAATGTCAGATGGCTTTATCTCATTATCTGCCAGGAGAATATAATATAAGATCAATATCAGATGATAGATGTATTAGATCAACATTCGATGCCTGATTTGATTGTAACATGAAATATATGTAATAGACAAATATTTGTGTAATTGTGATGGATGGTGTTCATGATAAACTCATTGCATGAAATAGCAGCAAGCAGAATATTGCAACGCAGATGCCTAGTACTCTTATATTATGGGACTTGTTTGAATGATAGACCCAGAAGAAGGCGTCGATTTTGGTTTCATCCTATTAGTACTGTTCATGCAGAACTTCTGCTTGGGGACCATCAAAATTTATTACAAGAGATGCGACTCAATGATGTGAACAAATACTTCAACCATTTGAGGGTGGATGACACCTGATTTATTCGATGTTTTATATATTCCACTTCAATTCATTACATACAATCTTTTAACAAACTTATGGTACATGGTATCAGAGCATCTGTCGAAAATGTCGCCAGGCGACCATTAACAGCAGATAACCTTTTTCCATTAGATTATACCAATTTTAATTCTGTCACAGTTTGAATAACTTTGACAGACACTCCCACAGATAGCATGGCATCAAATTAGACAAATATGTTAATCTATTTGCCGCTGAAAATTAAAAGTTGGTCCAACATCAAGCACCTTGACCTTGAGAATGCGGTAGCTAAATTTGGCGAAACCTGATTGGCTCACTGCGAAATGCTAGCAGCAAAAAGCTGGTGTGGAAGGCCACCTTGAGGATACGGTTGTCAATATCATGTTGTTAAACAGCTGAACAAAAAACATGAGACACAAATATGTTTCATAAAAGATGAAATGTTCGTTTCCTGTACCCCTCATTGAACGATTGAAAACATATTATTAACAGTGGCGTAACACCAAAGGCACATAATGCTCATTCTGTAGTTATATCAATATTGAATGTATTTCCATGAAATGGATATTGGAATGTGAAGCTTTATCAAACATTTGAGATGTCTTCTTGTCTTTGGGCAACTCAAATAAATGTTCGAATTCGTTACCAAACAAGAGATATTCGAAAAAAATTTCACAACTGACTTTTCAAATCTGAGAATGATGACAATGAGCTAGTGGACAATTTTTTTTAATAGAATCATCACTTAGTTACCTTTCAATTCCATATTTTTTTCGGTCGATTTCAAGGTACTAAAATTATCAATATTGTCAAGATAATTTTCAAACGGCTAGACATTTACCGCAAATAAAAACTGACGTCACGATTTCGTAAGTAGGGGTAGCCGTAGCACAGTGTTCATATCGCGAGATATGAATGGGAACATCAGAAATATTATTCATTTAATAATTCTTAAATGCTCAATCAGGTATTAGTTATATCCTAAATTACCTATGGGATATCCATTGTATGAAAAAGTCACCGTTTCATAAGTAGAGGGTGTTCCAACAAGAGCGCACGATTCAAATATGCCGCCATTTTGTTAATACTACGCGATTCGAGAATATTAGTCCGGGAGCCAGAGGCATTCTTCAATGTCTTAATTGATGAAGCTTGGTTCAGTTTTTAATCTGTTTTGATAATATAGCTCATCAACGAAATCCACTCATGCCATCTTTTATCTCAACATCCATATTGGTATTCGTAACCAATTTGGAATTATTGAACCTTGAGAATTTTAGGTTGGCCATTTTCATCGATACATATTCTTATCTGTTATTAAAACATCGGAAATTCAATCAATAATTTAGTAAACTAGTTTTCTAATTGAAAGAATTGATACCAGAATCAAATCAAACGGTAATAGTTCATGATTATGACAACTATTTACAAACTAAATAAGGACAAAATTTTCATTTCTCAATTATCCCAGTTTTGTTTTCAATGTACCATGAAATCATGGGATATTTGACTCGTGGAAATTTTGCTTTTTTTCACTTTGTGAAAAACTAGCATATGAACTTTTTCTGCTGCGTTGATACTGGTATAATTTCTTTCAAACTTCTGATCTTTTAATAACAGATAAGAATGTATATTGATGAAAATGGCCAACCTATTATTTTCAAAGTTCAATAATTCGAAAGTGGTTACAAATATCAATATGGAGGTTGAGATGAAATATGTTCGTGTTTTGATTTTACATCAAATGGCCTAAAAATATATGGGGTGTTCCATTCGAGAACCTCGACAAAAATCACATCGAAAAATTCCGAATTGAATAATCATTATCAGCCACCCTGTCCAATTTGAGGGTATTGAAATTCTTCAGAAACATCAAGCTCCGTTATATCAAATAATATTATGATTATCTTCTCTTAAATTCCATAATTGTGACGACAGTGATTTTTTCGGTATGCATCTGCAGATGACATATTTTCGACAAAAAAATCCATAATTTTGATATGATATAGAATATAGTCAACGATATTATAGGGGTGGATAGAGTTCACAGAGATGCTTAGAAAAAGGTGCTAATATACAGGGCATTCAATTTAAAAATAATGATCTCAACATTCTAGATTGTTTTGGCATATGCGGCAATAATTTCTATTCATGAACTTTGTTGTCACATTCACATTCGTTTTTGAATCAAGTTTCTAGTTATCGTAGAATTCGAGTTTTATTCAACGACACGGAGCTCTAACAACTTTTTGATAACTCGATTATAATTGGTTATTTGACCTTGCTTTTCAAGTGGGAATGGAAGAATATTTGACTAATAATCAATAGTATAAGAACTGACATCACCATATATCCGAGGTATCCCAGAACATAGCCGAATGGCGGCCATGACAGCACGTTTGAAATGAGCTTTGAAATTCAACAACTTTGGACAATGCATTGACACATTATTTACATCAAAAACGCGTTAGAAGTGTTGCAAAAATGTATTCAGGTCCCTAACGATACAGTGAAGTTATTGAATACTAATTATTCACAACCAGTCCACTCGCCCATTCGGGAATGTCAGTGTTGACGAGCATGTACAGGGTGATGCACCATAAATGTCTCCCCCTCTAGATCACTTATTTTTTAACCGATTCAAAAATTTTAAGAATAATCTAAAATGATTTTTCAGAAATCGGAACAAACGATCTACAGAGTACTACTTGATTTTTTCAAATAGAACACCCTGTATTTAATTTTTTTTTAGATTCTTCCTGAAGAGCTGATTTCATCAATACATCACACTTGGGTTCTAGCAAGAATAATTGCAGAGATATAGGGTGTACAAAATCGAGATTTTTCAACTTTGGGTTTTTTTTTGAGTCAAAACTATTCATTATTGGTCAAAACGGCTTCTATGTCCCTGTCTCAACTTTTGATTTACTATCTACTGACATTCAATTGGAACATTTACAGGGTGGTTCAAGATTCAGAATTCTGATCACCTTGTATCTGTTCCAATTATTAAATGTCAGTAGATAGTAAATCAAAAGTTAAGATACGGACATGAAAGCCGTTTATACCAATAATTAATAGTATCGTCACAAAAAAATCCTAAAATTGAAAAATCTCGATTTTGAACACCCTATATCTCTGTAATCATTCCCGCTAGAGCCCAAGAAGTGTGATACATTTTTCAAATCAGCTCTTCAGGGAGAATCTGAAAATACAATGAAAAATTGGGTGTTCCATTCCAAAAAAGTCAAATAGTACCCTGTAGATCGTTTGTTCCGAGCACCCTGTAATATCTGATGTAGCGGAAAAAACTTTATCGAAAATCATTTGAGATGATTGTTCAAATTTTTAAATCGGTTCAGAAATAACTGAGCTAGAGGGAAGGGGACATTTATGGAGAATCACCCTGTACGCACTCCTCAAAGGGCATGAAATGAGATGTTTGAGGCACTCTAGGGTGTCTAATTAGAAAAAAAAACTCATCATCAGCCGAAATTCTGGAATTCGAACACCCTATAGATATGAAAATGATTTAAGGTGACTGGAGGTCTATTGTAACGAAAAACCAAATAAATGTGGATAAGTCTATATTTATCGGAGGATGATAGAGTGTTGTCCTCACGCACCTTTAACGCTGTCTGGCAGCATGATTCCACCACTCAATGTATCTGGCATATTTTTTATTGAAAAGCAAACCGATTCGGCTACCAATCCACAAAAATTCAGTGCTCTATTAATCGTACGTTGCATTTTTTTTTTTTTTAAACTTTCAACGGCGATACCATGACCGCATCCATCACTGAAAACCTGCTAGTCATCCTGATCAGTATCCCACATTTTTTGGGATTTTCTCTCCTCGTTTCTATAAAATAAAAATATGAATATTATTTCAATATACTTACTTGTATTAGGGACAAATCAGATGATTTTCCTCAAACTGTCACTGCGATCAAAGAATTTTCTAATCAGAGAGCCAAAAAGAAAACTTCACTAGCTTGTCAGTGACAATTTGTATTGAAAAAGGTTTGGAGAAGAGAAATAAAGGTATATAGAAAAAATATCAAATTTTCACTTAGCTTTGGGCGTTTCGGGAACGAATCTGCTCCAACATTAACAATTGATATTTGTATAGCAAATTCGTATTCGTCTTGACACTTCTCAGTTCTCAGTGACAATTGATAACGTTGGCAATCAAATGAGTTACAGGATGTTTCAATTAATTAATCTTGAATTTGACATTTTCATTTTCAGATTTCAGTAGTGAATACCATGTTATATCTATATCAACTGAACAGGAAGCAATGCTATTGTCTCCGTTCAGAAGAATGCAAGCAGATTTCTTGATTTTTCTCTTCTGGTTGCTATCTTCTTTTCCCATGATTTCAATATTATTCCACTCTGCAAGGTCCACCACAACAAAATCAACCAATCAATAACGACAAATATATAAGCATACATTCCCGGCACATCTGAAAAAATAAAACGTGTAGGTGATGAATTTCAAGAGAAAACTGTGTTGAAAACTGAAAATACAATGAGATCAATTATTATAACTCAAACAAAGCAGAAAAATGAAGAACAATCGTCGAATAATTATATTTACAGTATACCTTGTGTTTGTGGAAAGTTTTATACAGATGAAATTAAGAGACCTCTTTCAGTGAGGACGAAGGAACATAAGTACAATATAAAGAAAGGACACATCGACAAATCGAATCCAGCTGAACATATCCTTACTGAAAATGGACAAAATATGGCAGAGGGGAATAATATTAAAATCATTGGAAAAGAAGAAAACAACCAAAAGAGAAACTTCAATCTGCTTACATTCTTCTGAACGGAGGCAATAGCATTGCTTCCTGTTCAGATGATATAGATATGTTATTCACTACTAGAATCTGAGAATGTGAAATTCAAGATTAAATAATGAGAACATCCTGTAACTCATTTGATTGCCAACGTCACCAATTGTCACTGGGAACTGAGAAGTGGCAAGACGAATACGAATTTGCTATACAAATATCCATTTTTTATGTTGAAAACGGGAGCAGATTCGATCCCTAAACGTCCAAAGCTAAGTGAACATTTGATATTATTTCTATATTCCTTTATTTCTCTTCTCCAAACCTTTTTCAATACAAATGGGCGTGTACACCTTAGTAGAACTTTCAACTCAAACCATGTTTATCCTTTTATACATAAATAATGATTGACGACATGATTCGATCGAAAAATTAACCGGAATCTTTTATTTTTGGACATAAATAATAGTACCTTCTGAAAACGGACCCTCTTATGACGTAGGAACCTCATCTCGCCATGGTTAAAACTGACACTTATCACTGTTGCCATATCATCTAAACAAAATATCCGAGAGATCAAAATCGATATTAAAATATCTTTTGATATCCACTATCACTACTGCAGAAAGATATATTCAAGTTGTCGATTGTAGGTTGAATCATTGGAATATAAACAATCTCTAGACAACGAAATGTCTCAATCTTAAACCCATTTGCACCATAACAATTTCACAATAATCTAATGTTTTATAAACGCAGCAACCTTGCTTTGTTGACCTGTTTTACATGGAGCTGCAAAAAGCTAATATAGGTTAGAATTGATCTTCTTTTTGTTCTTATTATCTTTGTCCCAAAAATCAACTTGCCGATTCACCAATCTTAGTGCTTTGTCAGAAATCATGTATCATTCATCTCTGTCTGGAATAGGGTTTTGACGTCACATCATCGCCTCGTTTTCAGAGGTCCGAAAAATCAGGGATTTCAATAATTTTTTACAAAACGTAGGGAGCTCACAGCAAGAAACGGTTTGCGGTGGTGAGCTAGTTTGGGTGAGTTCTATCGAATTATGAAATAAAATTTTTTGTGATACAAGCCCATTGTCACTGATAAGCTAGTGAATTTTTCTTTCAGGCTCTCTGATAGGAAAATTATTTAAACGCAGTGACATTTTGGGGCAGATCATCTGATTTGTCCTCAAAACAAGTATATTGAAATAATATACATATTTTTATTTTATGGAAACGAGGAGAAAATCCCAAATAATCTGGAATGACAAATGTACCACCTCCTCGATTAACCTTCAGACAGTATCCATCCTGATCAGTTTTTAATGATGTTACGGCAGTACAATAAGGCAGGAGATATTGATCTATTAATCGGACAATGAAACTTTTTTTCAGCTCTCCGTCTAACATACTTACCTTACTCACTAATTATTATTTATAACCTCTGAATTCAGTGATTTATTATTTTTGCGATTTCTTATTGTATCATATTGGTATGTATCATTGTATATTGTAATATATCCTGTGAACTAATTGGGTTGAGTTTGAGTAGCTATTAGCTAGACTTCCCAAAATTAGTGTTGCACATTATGAATTTGTTTTCATCCTGTTAATAAAGCCGATTTATTATTATTATTATTAGCATTATATGCCTACCGCCGGTAGATTCTCCAGTTCCTCCTGCGTTATCTCGATACCGTAGCCCTTGAACAGTTTTTCCACCTCCCGTTTCGGAACAGGTTCTTCCCCCACCCCCTCCTGCCGCTGCTCGTACACCAGATAGAACAGGAACTCGTGCACAATGCGCATGCGGATGAACTTCGGCTTCACGCCGTGGGTCACGCTTGCATTCTTAGCGTACCTGTCGACCACAAAAAAAAATATGATGAGGAAAGTTCTATTGAAATTTTCGACGTGAATCACCCCTGCATTTTTGCCGTATCTGTTGACCACAAAAAATACACTCCCCGACAATAAATTCCGGACAGTGAAATTTTTAGCAAAATTGTTCGCCCTGTAACTTTGGTAATCCTCTTCCGATTTCGATGAATTTTCGACCAGAGCGTAGAATTATGTTTCGCAAAATCAGCCTGATATTTTGTTCCGAAAAACATCTATTGTCCTAATCATTATACAGGGAAGAACAAAAGTAACTTTTTCACCCTTAACTTCTTAACGCCCTGTGGCAAAAGTGAGCAATTAGAATAAGTTTCATTATGATTTGTATTGAAGTGTGATTCCTTCCCAACAAAATGGTTTATAAATCACGTCGATATCTTTTCTTGAAGAGAACAAGTGCTTCAAGAAAATATGTAATTTTTCATATTCATCAAAAATTATTCAGAACTTACAAAAACATTAACAACTTGAAATGAAAAACAAAAAACTAAAAACCAATATCGCGTATTGCCACCGCGTTTTCTTAGTACTTCCTCTATGCGCCGAGGCATACTCTCAATGCAGTTGTCGATGGCCTCTTGCGGAATATTTTCCCATTCTTCTAGGAGGGCTGTCCGCAAATCCGGTAATGTTTCTGGGTGGCGATTGCGAACACGTCCCAAACGTGCTCACTAGCATTCAGGTCGGGACTACGCGGGGGCCACTCTAATCGCCCAATATTTACCTCGTCCAAGTATTTTGTCACGATTCGCGCATTAAAATGAAGTTTTGCCCAACAAAGCCGGCAAAGGGTACCACATGTTCAGCTAAACATTGTCGGATGTAACGATCAGCAGTTAAAGAACCATTTTCTATGAGCACCAGGTTCGTACGAGCATTTGATGATACTCCTCCTCATACCATGATACTACTGCCTCCAAATGGCGTCCTTGGAGATATGCAACACTGAGCAAATCGTTCACCCGGCCTCCTCCAGACACGTTCACGTCCGTCAGGGGAGCGCAAACAAAAACGCGATTCATCCGTGAATAACACATTCGCCCAGTCTTGGGCTCTCCAGTAGCTATGTTCACGAGCAAAATTAAAACGCCCTGTGCGATGTGCAGGAAGTAACAGAGGATATGCAGCGGGTCTTCTGGACATCAATCCTCTTTCTTTTAATCTACGCTGAATGGTTCGTGCAGAAACTATTGTACCTCGTACATCTTGTATTCTATGACTTATAACTGTCGATGGTGTGCCACGATCTCGTAATGCTGTTAGATTGATGAGATGGTCATCACGTTGATTGGTAACACGTGGTCTACCTGATCCCCTACGTCGTATGTACTCACCAGTCTGACGAAACCGACTAATCGCATCTTGTACAGTACTTTTTACGCAGTTTATTATGGAATGTCAGAATACTGGCACTTTGTTAAACAATACTTTTGATGTTAATACGCAATCAAAGACCAGTGTGATGAATGAGTTCACGTAGGTTGTTGAGAAAGATTAGAAAATGCCATACTTTCTTGAAACCTTTGTATCTTCTCTTGAAAAGAAAATATTGACGTGGATCAAAGAACAGATGTATTGAGAAGGAATCACACTTCAATACTAAACCTAATGAAACTGATTTTAATTGCTCACTTTTGCCACAGGGCGTTAAGAAGTTGAGGGTAAAAAAGTTACGTTTGTTTTTCCCTGTATAATGATTAGGACAATAGATGTTTTTCGGAACAAAATATCAGGCTGATTTTGCGGAACATAATTCTACGCTTTGGTCGAAATTTCATCGAAATCGGAAGAGGATTACGAAAGTTACAGGGCGAACAATTTTGCTAAAAATTTCACTGTCCGGAATTTATTGTCGGGGAGTGTATTATGAGGCAAGTGTCGACAACAAAAAAATATGATGACGAGGAAAGTGTAATTGAGATTTTCGACGTGCATCACGCCTACATTCTTGCCGTATCTGTCCACCACAAAAAATATTATGAGGCAAGTGTAATTCAAATTTTTGCCGTGCATTCCTGGTGTACCAGTCGACCACAAAAAAAATATTAAAATGAGGAAAGTGTAATTGAAATTTTTGACCTGCATGACGCCGGAATCCATGCCGTATCTGTCGACCACAAAAAATATTGAGGCGAGTGTAATTGAAATTTTTGCCGTGCATCACGCTTGCATTCTTGGCGTATTTTTCGACTACAAAAAATATTACGATGAGGAAAATGTAATTGAAATTTTTGCCGTGCATCACGCCGGAATTTTCGCCCTACTTGCCGACCACAGAAAATATGAAGAGGAAAGAAAAATTTAAATTTTTGACGTGCATCAAGCCGGCATTCTTGCCGTACCTGTTGACTACAAAATATATCAGAATGAGGAAAGAGAATGTCAATTCTCAATTTCAGAGGATTGAAGTTGAAGCTTCAAGATTTTTTTCATTGTTGATTGATTGTCTTCATTACCACAAGAAACATTTCTGTTTATAATAGGGATACATGCATAGTGAAAGGAGAAGATGGTGTGCTCAACAGAAAGCTCAAACTCGTCTTGTTCTGCGCATGACGTCAGCTGGGATATAACTGTCATTGTTATTATTTATTTTCGTGATTGATGTCTCGAACTTCAGATATTATATAAGTACTAAAATTGAATGAAATAATTTCGAAATGCCTACTGGTTTCGTTTCTGGTTATGGGAATTCCAACTAACATACGAAAGGCACAGATATTGAATTTTTCTGCTTTTCCAAGAATGGAGACCTAATGAAACGATGGGAGCTTGCTGCCGACAGAATATAAAGTCAATGAATGGTACCTACCTTATATTCCTCATATCCTCATTCCAAAGTATTCACCTATCATATTATCATCACATTCATATTACAGCACGTATTTCTTCGAAACATTTCCATGCAAAATGTTCCCAAACAAGTGCGAAAGTACGGTTCTTGAATCACACACCTCCAAAAAATCACAAATATTTGAAACAAGATGCCATTCCTACAGAACATCTTCCGAATATTAAGTCAGAAATAATTGAAAATGAATTCAAAACTCTTAATTTCTCACAAAATATAAATTGCAGCAAATATTTGAATAACAAAACGGCAAAAATTGATACTCTTGTTTTCGATTTCGGAGCAGAACGTCGTTAACTGTTGAATTTTAATCTGTCAGAATCGACACAGTAGTGGATCATTCGATCAGATGGGATTGGCAATGCATGATATTTCGTATGTATCTAATTTCAATAATCATGATTGAATTCATTGCGCACGCCCATGGCAACGGTATCTGTCTGTGACTAGCAGCTGATATTGGTATCCCAGATGACGTCACATAATATGCGCGTAGGCATCCTTCCACTATGGGATACATGAATACATAAATAGTTATTCATACACCAAGGTAGTAAAGAATATCATTATTACCCAGGGACAAAGATTCAGCCGAGGGGTATAAGGTCTCGTGGTAATGATATTCTTTACTAAACAGACTATAAAAGATGCAGAATCGTGCTATGCGAATAATCTTACAATGTTCAAGGATAACACCGATAGCAAATATGTTGAAAACCCTACAATGGCTACCAGTGAAAAAACTCTTCGAGTATCAAACACTAATTTTCATTTTTAAAATCAAAATTGCATATTCACCTGTATATCTACAGAGTAAATTATCATATGTGGCTGAAATACATGAATATAATACAAGAAACAGAAACAATATAAAAGTTGAAAAATATAAAAAAATAGTACACATAATTCCTTATTTTATAAAGGAGTAGATTGTTTTAATGACCTCCCACAAGAAATTGAAGAGAGTGGTTCGATAAATACATTCAAAAGACGATTGAAGGATTATTTAATGAAAAATTAGTATATAATTATTACTCTTTTTTTGTACCTAGTTTTTATTTACAAGTATGTATTTTTTATTCAGACTGATTGTATTTTTTCATGTTAATCTAAGTTTATTTATATGTGAATGTATTTAATATTGTGAATGAATTAGTTTTTCAACTAAATAAAGATATATATATATATATATATATATACTACCAAGGTTTATATTAAAATTTGTTCACCACTTCAATATATTTCCAATAATTTTAGTTCTGTGAAACCGAAATATTTTCTGTGGTTTTCTCATATTTTTGCAGTGAACGCAGCCAAGGAAATTAAAGTAAAGGAATTAAGAGATTTCTGGTGAATTTGGAGTTGACACATATAGAGAAGATCTTGGATTGTGGTCGCTGGACAAAAGGAAGACATGTTCAGGTGAGTGTTGGGTCTATACTTTATTTGTAGTGTTAACTCTCACTCTCACCTGTGCATCTCCTTCTGGGTAAAGAATCCACGAATTTCAATACACTGAACCATTCTTTTATGATTTTTGTGCATAATTATCACCTTATCTAATGTTCTAGGACCAAGGTCCATTATCTTTTCTGTTTGAGCAGTTGATGTTGGAGTAAGGTGTCTGCCAGCTCGATATCACTCCTAATATTTCAAAACAATATATATATTTGTTTCCTTGTCTTTTCTTTATAGGTACATGATTCATACTTGCATGCAAGCAAAAGGCCAATTTTTTCTAGAAAGTATTTGAAACTGGTTGATAGGCATATTTTGCATTTTACAAATATTGTACTTAATATAAATTTGTTACTGCCGCGGTGGTCGTGTAGAGAGTATCCACATTTTATCCTGGTACTATTAGGAAATTCAAGATGGCGGATTTTGTGATTATGATCCGATTCTATTCAAAATTTTCAGGAGTAGCAGATTATGATTCTGTCGTCAAAAGGAGTGAAAAATAAATGTTAGTTTGAAAAATTAAAGAAACACTGTATAGTGTGTCCACTTAAAAGACGGACCACCCCTGTAAAATCATTTTTATCTGATTGATTCTGAAAAACTTTTTTTGTTGGATTGGTAGGTGTTCATTCTTGGACTGTTATCGTGACCAACTGCATTTTTATGACCCATAGTTCAGGAAGTACGAGGGATTTTTTCCACGAAAAAGGATCACTTGAAATATACCTGTAACGATTTTTATCATCATAAAGAGCACAGGGTGTCCAAAAGAACGTAATATAATTTTTTTTATTAGGTGATCAGAAAAAAAATTCTTCACTCAAAAAATAATTATGAATAACGATCACTTGAAACATAACTGTACCGATTGTCATCTAAACGATGACACAGGGTGTCCGAAAAATCTAATAATTTTTTTCAATTGATAATGAAATATTGCCTACTTATTCTATTTTATTTATTATTTCTCATACACATCGTATATTTGAATGACCAATATCGGTACAGATATATTCGTGGTCCTCAATAATAATTTGTGAATAATTATTCCCAAAACTACAGTACAATACATTTTTCCATCACGTATTGAAAAAAATTATAATTCGTTTTTTTCAGATACCCTGTATTTAATGATGACGAAAATCTGTACTGGTGTGTTTTACGTAATCCTGATTCAGAACTCATAAATTTTTGCCTGTGTGAAAAATCATCATGATAAAAAGTATTGCTTATTCAAACTTTTAAATTTTTTCTCAGACATATTGTATATTCCAATGCTGAAAATTGGTACAGATATATTTGAAGTAATCCTCATTAATATTATGTCATTAGTTCTTCCCAAAAATACAACGGTACTACATTTTCTGATCACATATTCAAAAATAATAATAATTCGTTTTTTCGCACATCCTGTAATGTATGTTGATGAAAATCGGCACGGGTATGTTTCAAGATATCGTACTTCAGAACCCATCATTATTTTTGGGGAAAAAAATCCTTAATAGTATTTTCTGAGATATGGGTCAATAAAGTTGGTCGCAGTTGGCCATGTTAACAGCCCAAGAATAAAATCACTCTGTTGTTGGATGTACATTACCTATACCTATCCAACTAATAAGTTTTTCGAAATCGGTCAGATAATAACGATTTTACAGGGGTGGCAAGTCCTTAAGGTGGACATGTATTCCAATGCCACCCTGTACAGCAAAAGAACGTTTGCGGGATCAGCTAGTTTATGATATTAGTAGGGAAGGGATTGTTGCCTCACCTGTTTCTCAACTCGACCACCTTTAGCTTCTCCAAGCGCTTCATTTCTTCTATGCTGTTCATGACGTCCGATTCGGAAAAAGGCGAGTCTTTCATTTTCTCTTCCACTTTCTTTATCACCACAGGTACGTTCAGCTTCACGGTCTTCTTCACCGAACCTACGGATGGAGATACAGGGTGTTACCGAAAATGTAGGGAAAAAACAGAACAGAACAGAATTTAATAAGGCTTTTCCTGGAATTTTTGTAAATAATTGTTCAGAGATTTGAACATTTATTTCAATAATTGAGAAACAACTAATGAAAAAATGTTCTGGTATAGGGGAATACACTTCCCCAAGAAATATTCGTCAAAACTAATGGTCTGATTCGGGCGTTTTCTGTTTTGAATGACAGGTTATTAGGCCAAGCAATGGGTAGATTTACCTGGAAAAAAATACAGGAGTTTTGAAAATTCGCAGATCGGTTGATCTTCATGACCCTAATAACACCTCAAGTTTGCGACCACGTCATACCGCCGCTGGCGCCGCCATATTGAAAAAATGGTACCCAAAATCAGTTTTTCCATGATATCTCTCTTCCAGTACTTCCTAGGTGAAAAATAGTGCCTATAAAATTTGTAGAGGAGAAAATTCTCTACAACTTCGAATAAATATATTTTTTTGTGCGTCCAATGGTTAAGGAGTCACATAGGCATAAGTTATAGCAAATTATTCAACATCGATGATACAATAATGCTTGCGGTCCAGCAGTGCAGTTTTTTCACATATTCAATATTATTGGTTATATTCGTTGCTGAGAAGAACAGAGTGCAACGAATCTTTCGTTTCTATTTATACAAAGTATATACTATACGTAAAATACTATGGTTCAAATTCAATCATTGTATTTGATGGATATCCAGCTGATGCTGCACAAAAAAGCACTAAAAGTGCAGAACGTCTTCTACGATCAAAAAAGTTAACATCTGCGGATATATTGTTTGATGAATCGATGATAACGACATACCCACAATCCAGGTTCCTAGCCAACAATCACAACAAGAGTCGTCTTATATCCTTACTGAAAGATACATTTGAGAAATCAAACTTTACTGTCCATCAGGCCATAGAAGACGCTGACACCTTAATTGTTAGGACAGCAATATCCACAGCATCATCTTCAAACTCTGTGTTTATCGTTGGAGAAGATATCGACCTACTGATACTTTTAGTTGCACTAGGAAATCATCATCCAAATGTTTATTTCTTGAAACCGGGCAAGGGGAAAACTTCAGAAAAGATTTAATCCGTACAAAGTATATATTGTTTTTACACGCCTTTAGTGGATGTGACACAACATCTGCCATTTTCAACCAAGGCAAGAACAAAAATTTCTCAAGATGATTATGAAATTCCCGGAATTGAATGAAATTATCGAAGTATTCAAGGATGAAACTGCAGACGCCAACGCAATTGCAGTAGCAGGAGAAAATTTCTTGATCAAACTCTATGGAGTATCTCAAAAGGATTCATCTCTGGATTTTCTCCGATATCAGCAGTTTTCGCGATCGGCGACAAAGAGTAAGTTCAACCTTGCTTCACTTCCCCCCACAGCAGCAGCGGCAAAACAAAATTCATTCCGCATCACCTATCATCAAGTTCAAGCTTGGTATGGTGTTGAAAAAAATCCGGAAAAATGGGGATGGAAAAGGAGTAAGGTCGGACTCACTGCTGTTAGAACAACCAAAGATCCTGCTCCAGAAGTACTTCTGAAATTCATTTCATGCAAATGTAAAAAAGGATGTGTCTCAGTATGCAGCTGCAGAAAGGCGGGTTTGAATTGTTCGATAATTTGCATGTACTGCACAGGAAATGCTTGCGAAAATATCGCAAACATGTTGAACGACTCTGATGACGAAGACCCAGATGATATCATTCTACTGCCGACGTTTGATGTTATAGACGAAAATTCCGGGGAAGATGAATCAGATGCAGAAAACACATACAAAATTAGTGTGAATCCAAGCGAACCTGGTCCATCTAGACTCTAGAGTATTGAGATGAAGCCAGCAATAATAATTGTTTGAACATTGAAATGTGGATTAGGCCTACTGGGGGCACCATAATAAAAAAAACGCGCCATTACTCTACCTCAGGTGGTGTGAAAACGAGTAAAGTAATGATTACTGAATAACTAAACAAATTCTAGCGATAATTGACACTGTAAGGGAAGCATTGTATAATTTTACTAAGATCACCCTGATTTATATCGATGCAACTCTGGAAATATTGATCCCAGAAAAAAACATTTTCTACAAAATTTGTAGAGAATTTCCTGTCCTACAATTGTTGTAATACCTATTTTTTGTTTATGAAGTACTGAAAAAGAGATATCATGAAAAAACTGATTTTAGGTGCAATTTTTTCAATATGGCGGGGCTAGCGGCGACTTGACGAGGTCGCAAATCATACGCGTAACTGAGGTCATATATATGTACATGACTGCCAAGTTTCAAAACTCCTGTATTTTTTTCCAGGTAAAGCCCTTTTGAGTCCCCCATTGCTTGGCCTATATCTCCTTCTAAACATTGGTGTGCAAAGTTTATTACCATAAAAATCTCTTCTTCAAGAATACCGGATGTAGCAATTATAGAGTTTTTTCCATGAAATTTGTGATACTCTGTGGAGTGTAACAGTTACATTATCAAGTTAGAATTGTAATTACACTTTAACCTCATCTTTCTTCAACATTTCTTTCTTGAATTCACTCCATTATCTTTCCTATTATTCAAGAAATACCATTTCATGGCGAAACATGATTTTAAGGAAAATTATTATCGAAAAAACGAACAGTCAAGTCAACGAAATGGCACGAATAACTTCTTGGCGAAGACGGCTTATACTTCAAATAAGAAGCCATGTCTTCCCGAATTTGACTCAGTCTCTGCCGTGCGCCTTCCAAAGTATTCAACTTACGTTCCTCTCGTTATCTTGTACCAAGAACGTCCCAGAGATACTCAATGGAAATTAAATCCGGGCTTCGAGCTGGCCATGCCATGATAGCGATACAGACTTCCTCTAGATAGATAATTTCTCACAACTCGACGACGTGAGGTCTGGCATTATCTTGCATCAACAAAAATGCTTGCCCTATGTGTGGTTCCAAAATCTTCTTCTGAAGGCTTCTATTTATGATCACAAGTTCCATGCGAGCAGTCAAAGAAATGCCATCCCAGACCATAGTTTGCTACTTACGTGCTTATAGTGCTAATTGAATTCAATAAAATCATTTTATGCTATGAAATTGTGTTTCTGGAGTAATAGAAAAGATAATGGAGCGAAAAGGAATGTTGAAAAAAGATAAGACTAGGTGTAAAATCAATTCCAGCTTGATAATGTAACTGGTGTCCTCTGCAGGGTATTAAAAATTTCATGAAAAAAACGCTATAATTGCTGCACTTGGTATTCATAAAAAGAGGTTTTTATGCGAATACAGTTTGCACGCCAATATTCAGAAAGAAAACCTGTCATTCAAAGCAAAAAACGTTCAATTAGCACTCGAATCTAGTAGATATTTATCAATAACGACTGTGCTGTCATGGTCATGGCAACTAGATATTAATTAGAATTGAAAATAAGTGCTTTCATAGTGACAATAGGTCCAAATTTCAGTTTCACAGAACTATAATGATTGAAATACAGGATGAGTCATAACTATTGGGACATAGGCTAAGAGCAAATTGTTTGGACGAAAATATAGCGATAGGACCAGATTGCTGAGGAAAAAGATACAGGGCGTTAAAGCTGATTATTTTTTTTTCGTTTTGATAATAATTTCAATGTTTATTCATCAATTGTTATCAAAATCGGCACAGTCATAATATCATACATTATAGGGATTTCATTTCGTGCGCTCCAAGCGATAAAAAAAAGGAATATTATTTTATGAATTATTCTACAGTTTGTTATAAAGGGCGCTACGTGAATGATTCCTGAAGATGTAATCGACTGACGAAACTTTCTAGTGATTTTGGTTAGAAAATATAATATAACCATCATTTTAACCTAATATTGATACTCTCATTATTCCAGATTTTTTGGGATTTTCTCTCCTCTTTTCTATAAAATAAAAATATGTATATTATTTAAATTCATATCTTCATTTAATAGAAACGAGGAGAAAATCCAAAAAAATCTGGAATAATGATTGTACCACCTCCTCGATTAACCTACAGACAGTATTTAATATTGATACTCTTGTATAAAAATGATATTTTCATCGGTTTTCTATAAAAACGCAATTGAACAGCTGAAAGTCTCGGAGGGGGATTTCAAATATTATTTCATTTATGAAATGTGTGCTTTGTACTGTCAAATTATTGCAGGCATATTTGGTCCTATCGCCATATTTTGGTCCAAACAATCCGCCCTTAGCCTATGTCCCAATAGTTTTGACTCATCCTGTATATTGCTAGTGGTGAAGTTTGAAATACACCTTGGTAGTAAAGAATAGTATTACCACGGGACCTTATAACCCTCGGCTGAAGCCTCGGGACATAATCTTGGTTCCTGTGTAATAATGATATTCTTCACTAGCTTGGTGTATAAATAATAGTTATTTAACCAACTAGTGTATTAATGAGGACGATTAATGATCGAGATATTTTAACGTGCGAGCGAAGCGAGTGCGTTAATGTTCGAGATCATTAATCGCCTTTTAATATACAAGTTGGTTACAAAATTTTTCCGTCGGCTATATTTCTCATTTCACCTGCAATGAAGAAAACTTGGTTCGCGAATTCATCATCCATCCGGAAACTGCTAAGAATCATCCAGTATAGCCTTGTTACTGACATTAGTGTCATTTGACATTTGTCAAAATGATCAACATAGGAAATAAATTCCTTGTATTAGAAAACAGGGATTAAAATCGTGTTAGAAACTTGGAAAGGCGAACCCGTTAACGGAAAATCGTCGATGAAATCCATATTTTCGATTTAAATGCAGATTCCGCTAGTTATAGCATAAACAATGAATGCACGCGGTGTATGTTTGGTTGCCTATAAAACAATCGTGCATTGATAGACAAATCGTCCATTAATAGGGGTCATTAATGAACGATTTCATATACATTAAACTTAGTCGTTAATACGAGGTCGACGGAAAATATTATTTTTTCTGTGGAGGGAAAAAAGTTTGGCATTTCATCTCTGTTGGCAGGTTATGAAATGTCACTCTTCATAAATCACTCTTTTCCCGTGGGAAAAAAGTGAGTTTCATTTTCCCGGATATATATAACATATATATACATTGTTGATGGCTTTTGTTGTGCTATAGTTCAGAAAAATGAGTCAACCATACCGTCTCCGAGAAAGAACTGCAAGTCCTTTTATCTTCCATTCGACTTCGCGGTTACGTATATTACTAAACAACCACTAAATTCGCAATTTTTTTGAAATCAAATCACATAATTAGTCTGACAGAAGTGACATCAGATATTTGATTGCTTCAAAAGAATAGGTGCGTTTTATTGGCAAGATTCTTACACCGGAATGACAATTCATGTCGTTTTATTGAACGAAATTCTGAAACTGGTTTCAACTTTTCATTCCGTCTTCTCATACGGAATGACAGGAAGACGATTGTGGAGGGAGTATATAAAATGGCGGAAATGGTGGTATTCTATATAATCTAACCTTAAAATCTGAACTAAAATTGCCGTAAAGTGAACTCGCCTCAGGAAATATTTTGGAATTATTCTCAATTCTACCCAGAAGTATAGAAACCTCTGGATTCATCCTGAAATTACTTCTGAATGTTCAAAAATACAGACTTGATGAACAGCAAAATCCCAAAATTATCCTGAAAAAGATCAGCTGAATGTCACAACTTTCAAATATGAATCACATCGTTTTATTGGTCGTCACTTCTACTGCCACCAGTAGGAAACCAAAAAAACGCACCTAATGATAAAGATGCCTACAACGCGGGTGTCCCTACTGTTAAAAACTTGAAATTTCACGTCAATAATTTTCAGATTTCAAAATATTGTAATATCTTCTCAATATTGATTCGTCCTTTTTTCTGTCACAGAAAAAAATAGTGTATTATACACGGAAAAAATATTAGATTTTAGCTCACGGTTTTTTGACAACACAACCTGGAGCTGAAGTCTACTACTTTTTTCCCTTGTATAATAAATAACTATTGTTTTTTGTTTATCAAAATCGGATGATTACTAGCAGCGCTATCGCTTGGGGCGATAGCTTATAATTAAAATGTACTTACCTATGAAATATTTCCATTTCATTTGCTGGCAGGCAGACTGGATCTGGTCCTCAGTATGACTTATGGATGGATGACATATGAACGAGAGAGATTTCGTTATGTTGCTGTCAAAGATGTTTATTCTGTATATTTTAATGTAACCTTCTTCGACCAGTCTTCTCAGTATTCTGTTCAACGATTTTTTGTCCATCTTTTTTTCGTAACCTAGAATAGAAATAAAGCGTAAGGAAATACATCCCCATTGAACCTTTGATTGGACTTGACAGGAACGTAACGTCATAATTTTTTGGGTGACACCTGAGCTACAAGAGAAGTATAATTAATTTGAAATCAACAGGAGATACGTTATCAATAATTTCTTTGTATCTAACAACATTTTTTAACCTGAAGTAATTACCTAACTATTTTATTGCGAACTATAGTGTTCAGCCCATCTAGTTCGACTGAAATTTCTCTAACCTAAATTGAAACCTAGTAGGCAAGGTATAATATTGTCAGTTCATTGGAAAGAACATGCAAAAACCGTCCTTATCGGCGATGTTTTCAGTAAAACAGTGACCTCTATTTTGAACTAAGTTATGCATTTCATTACTCTAGATATTCATTATTGCCTCATTTTTGTTGCACCTTGTATAGATATCCTCAAGAGTATCTGTTTGTTTAAGTAAAATCTACATTTCTAAGGCGAATTCGAAAAATTACAGAAATGCATCATTGTGCATGAAAAATAATATCTCTATAATGCGGATTCAGATTTGAATAACCATTTCGAAACCAGAAATTGGTTTAAAATTTCATAATTTCATATACATAGAGTTGGAGAAGTCTCTATCTCATCTGGAGAGAGATAAGGTTTTCTTCATCGAGTCTCACAATCATTTTTATATCATCCTGTATGTGCTCCATTTTGAATTTTTGTATCAGGACACTCACATTATCCAGAACTATCACCACAATGAAAACTTTTCAAAAAACAATCATTTTGTAAAAAAGATATATCTCCGACATGAAGGGCTGATTGAAAAAGGAATATTTGTAGTCTCATATTGCTCTGACGAGTAACAAAAAGTTTGTGCTAGCCGAATTGAAATAATTAGTCATGGGATCCATGAGTAATTCGATTTAGAACCTGCTATTTTTTGGACCACGACGTTTATTTTGTTGATCAATTGAGCTAAAGATAGTAATAAATTTATGAATAAGGATAATGGACCTACTCCATACAGCCCTTTGTATATTTTAGCGATTTAAGATTAGGATTTACCATGACACACATTGACCGATTATCATGAAACTATGTATACATATTCTTAGATGTTATGGAAAGCACATGGGATACTTTTCATTAGGAAAATAAAATACAAGTTTACGACGGGTAAAAAAATATTTTGGAAGACATGATTGTTGGACACAAAATATTCAACAATCAGACATGAAACTCTATATGTCGGTACCTTAGATATTAATAATTAGAATACGTCTTTTGGGACTCGTAAGTCTTTGATTATTTAGATGATGAAAAGATAATGACAAATATCCAACCTATCATCAGGTGGGCACTTCGAAGGCGCAAATTTTTAAGTGCATGAGAGATACCCTTCAGATGTTTTGCTATTCAGTGACTTGACCACGAATGACATTGAAGTTTTAGTTTTCTGGGCAACCAGAATACACGATTTTAATACTATCTCTGAATGAGCCATCTATTGATCTAGAGACAGGGCGCAACAAATAATCCAGGCGGAAGCATGTTGTGGTAAAATATTGATTCAGTTCTGTTGGACTGTACCATAGAATATTCTGTGACTGAACCCTGCTAAATAAAACAATCACCACCAATTTCAAGAAAATCGCATAGCAATAATTGACATTTCAGAGTGTATTCAAAAAGAGCCATACAAACTGTATAAAAAGCATTTTAGAATAGGATATTAAGTTTTAATATCCTCTTGAAGATGCCAACATAGTTAGCGAAACGAGTGGTCGAGGCTTTGAAAAATTGGTTTGGTTAGTGATGAAACAGTGATTTGTGAATCAACCCTTGACTGTTTCGACAAAATAAATCATACACCCAGCAGAACACCCAAGATTTATTGATTTAATAACTTAGTGAGTTCATTTCCAAGGCAACCGTATCCACACATCATCATACTAACAACCAAAATTGCCGAGAAGCATACTATTCGCGGTAGTCAAGGTCATCATCTGAACTGCGATGACATAAAACCAGGAGTTAGAAATATTTTCCCGTAGTTTTCATGTCGTCGCAACGTCGGCTCATCAGAGATGAATCTTACCAAAAACCGAGAGAATCAATTTGCTCCACGATGAAATTGACTCAGCTCCAACCAGTCACCAAAGAAAAATCTTCGATGGAACAAAGGCGAGCTAAATGGGTCAATTAAGACACGAAATAATTAAGAATAGTAATAGAGTAGTGAATAAGGAACAATAACCTGAGTAGATGTAAACGTTCGCTGAATCGAATGAAAAAATTTCACTATTTAGATTCTGGAATCGTTCAAACATAAACAGATGAAATAGATGGAATTGACGATTCAAATGACGTTGACACAAATGGATCACATAATATGGGGTGTACCAGTATAATGACACCTCGACTTCAGTGAATCATGACAATAATGTATGCAATGATAGACAAGGACTAAATAATATAATATATATATGACAACCTCAATCGATTAAATAAGTGTAAAACATTTGAGGGGTTGATTCCTCATCGGAAAATAGATGAGATCTTTCATATAAAGAAACTTCATTGGAGCATCCCATGTTAAGACACAGCCCCTTGAAGGGAATACATGAAATTTGTTCAACAATTTTCTTCACAAGCACTAAAAAAGTTACAGTATTGAAATAAACCCGACATTTTCTATCAAAAAGACACTTAGCCAGTGATTTATTTGGTTCACCCCATGGTAAGGGGTGGAAAACGCAACCGCTGAATTTTATTTCCAATGTAACTTTTTGTCTTATTATTTGTTTACCATTTTGAAATTTATTTCCGATAGCCTGTATCATTCTAAACAAGAAATGTCCCTTGAATTTTTTGCCCAAAATAAACCAGTTGGCAGCAAAAAAATATGTTACGATCAACTATAGAGATACATCGTCATAAATTCGAACTAGATTTATGGTCATTTTGTAGTTACTACCTGCGTTAAATGATTAAAGGGAATAAAAAACCATGGGGTGAAGCAAATAAATTACTGGCTAAGTGTCTTTTTGGTAGTAGAAAATGTCAGATCAATTTCAATACTGTAACTTTTTTAGTGCTTGTGAAAAAAATGGTTAAAGAAATTTTATGTATCTTAGCATGGGATGCTTCAATGAAGTTTCTCTAAATGAAAGATGGTATCTTTTTTTGAGGAATCGCCCTCTTGAATGTTTTACACTTATTTAGTTACACCCTGTATATCTATAGGCACTGGGTTACAGCATAATCGCCATCTTGAATTCTTGTGACTACACATGTTTCTATGACAATATCTCTTTACAAGAAGGTTTATTCCACCATAATATTTTACCGTTTTTTTCTGAAGTATTTTCTTTCTTTCCTCTTGGATATTACCTGTAACTAGATGAACAGATCAAATTCTAGATTAGGGATTTCTTTTCAATTCTCTGGCTGCTAGTAAAAACTCATCCACTGATCTCTGATATGCATGATTTCAGAAAATGAGTGAGAACTGATATAAAGCCTATTTGGCACTCATATTATCATCATCTCTTCGGTCTTCGCAACACGTTTAGTTCCATTCATTTTAAAAAAATGTCATTATTGTCTTATCCACAACCCATTGAATCAACAGGGAATCATAAGAATTCATATACTTAACCTCAGTTTTATTTAATTTTTCAAAAATTTCGTTGGTAGCAGTGCGCCCTCTTACGTCACCTCACCCATGTATCCCGCGCAGTCATAAAGCTCGTTTATGCGGTAACCCTGTCCCAATAGATATATTATAATAACCCTGCTGACCGGTAAAAAAACAATGTATAAACCAGTCATTATCATCGCCTGGGTCGATATGAAATGGAATAAACAGATTCATTGTATATAACAATCACTCCAATGGGCTTATATCACAAAAAAAAATTATTTCACTATTCGATAGAACTCACCCAAACTAGCTCACCACCGCAAACCGTTTCTTGCAGTGAGCTCCCTACGTTTTACAAAAAATTATTGAAATCCCCGATTTTTCGGACTTCTGAAAATGAGGCGATGATGTGACGTCAAAACCTCTAATACTGAAACAAGACTATTCGAGACAGAGATGAATGATACATAATTTCTGACAGAGTGAATTAGCGCAAGATCACTTTTGAAAGAATTAATATATCAGTTGCCTCAGTCTCCGTCGGGCGTTTTGTTATTTTCTTTTAACTATGGCGAGATGAGGTTTCTACGTCATAAGAGGGTCTATTTTCAGAAGGTTCTATTATTTATGTCCAAAAATAAAACATTCCAGTTAATTTTTCGATCGAATTATGTCGTCAATCATTATTTATGTATAAAAAAATCATTATAAACATGGTTAGAGTTAAAAGTTCTACTGAGGTGTACACGCCCATTAGGAATCAATAAGTTACAACAATATAAATGATACACCCAGTAGAAAACCCGTGATTTATTGATATAATAACCTGGCAAGTTTGTTTCCAAGGAAACTGTATCGACCCATCACCATATTGACAACCAAAGTTGCCATCGAAAATGGACCACACCAATAAATGTGCCGTACAAGAAGAAATAAGCGATAACGACAGTCTAATCGAAAAATGCTGGGTCGAGAAATACAAAGGAGACAGCAGGAAATGGCTCATCAGAGATGGATCTTACAAAAAACCCAGAGAATCCATTTGCTCTACAATGAAATCGACGTACCTCCAACCAGTCAGCGAAGAAAAACCTTCCATGGGACAAAGGCGAGCTCTGCTATTGAAGCAACTCGAAATTGAAGCAGCAAACGAAGTGATCAGAGAAAGAAACACCCCACCTCCTGTGGAAAAGTACTGCACTGAGTACGATGGGAAATTCAACGCTTCCGGGTTTGAGACCGATCAAGAGTTTTACACTAGACAACCGGAGTTGTACAAGAAATATCCTCTGTATTCCTCTGCTCCGACGTCGTTTTATTCGTTCTATTTGAAGGAGAAACCGGACGAAACGTTGCATGGGCTTACAAAAGTCGCAAATCCTATGTGTCCGTTCAAGAAATGTGCACGTTTCTCCAAACCACTGTCCGATGTATTAGACGTTGAATCATAAAACAATTTGAACATCTGCATCTTTATATCATTAAATGATGTACAGGGTGCGCCTCTTAAAATTGAATCCCCCCATAACTCTTTTGTTTTCAGAGATATGAGAATATGTTGAATGAAAAACCGGCCCCTTTTATTTCGTGAAGTTGTTTCATATACAGGGTCACTCGTTTTTCCAGAAAGGACATCAACTGATTTTTTCAATGGAACACCCTATATTTCATAAATATGAGTTGCATATTTGGATGAACAATAGTTGAGTTATTGATTATCAAAATTTACCAAAATACCGCATTATAAACCTTCAGTTCATATCATTTAATGTAAGTTGAATCTCTGGTAGTAGTCCATGGTCAAATTGGAGGTGATGAGATAATTAAGAGAACAAACTCAAAGTCTCGCTCCAAGTAAATTTTAATAAAATCATATGTGCTACATGTTTCGACTCCTAGGAGTCATCATCAGGCTTGCTAGGTAGGAGGAGAAAGGAAACTATAAAATTGATGACATAGTTCGTAAGGGTTTTAGGCCCCAAATAATTTTGTAATGTTTCTTCAATGTTTTTCTAAAATTATTTAAGCCTGAAACCCTTACGAACTATGTCATCAATTTTATAGTTTCCTTTCTATTTGTTCTTATGTTATGCCATGTAGATGACTTGGAAAATTTAGAATCAATGGGACTCAGAGGCATGATAAGGAACCTTTTAGATTCGTATCTTCAAAATAGGACAATCAGTACCAAATCTACCAACTCAGAGTCTCATAGATTACCGATGACTAAAGGTGTCCCTCAAGGATCTGTTTTAGGACCAATTTTATATTTATTATGTATTCAAAATATCACGAAAATTAATACAGAATGAAATTACACTATTTATGCAGACGATACGGTACTTTTATATAAAAATAAAAATCCTATCATTTTAGAAAATATAATAAACAGAGACTTGATGAAATTTGAAAAATGGCTTCATTCAAACCTCTTATCAATAAATACTGATAAAACTGAATATATGATTTTGCAACAAAAAAATAAACAAAATATAAATTTAAATCTCAGAATTTAAAATGAATCTTTGAAACAAACTAATGAGAAAAAGAATCTTGGGATTTGGTTTGATGATGAATTAAAATGGGACAAACATATAAATGTTTTGACGAAAAAAATATCTCCTATTATTGGAGCCCTGAGAAGATGTCCCAAGCTGAATAAAAAAGTTGCAAATATAATTCTATATTCTCATATACTCAGTCGTATTAACTATTTGATAAATGTTTGGGGATACTGTTCAAAAAAGAATTTCAATAAAATATCTGCATTATATAAAAAGACATTGAAAGTACTGTATCGTTTACCATATGATACACCAACAAATCAATTATATTTATAAAATAAGTGAATCATTCTCATTAGAAGAAATGATCAGAATTGAGAGACTGAAAATTACATAAAATATCATAAATGAAAGATTGAAATCTAATTTTATTTTAACACGAAACAATGAAATTCATAATTACCAAACTAGACAACATGGTTTATTTCATCTTGATATCGCTAATTCTTCTATAGGCCAAAAAAGATTAACCCACGCTGCTCTCTTGGAATATAACAAATTACCAGATAATATAAAAAATTGCAGAGATACAATAAAATTCAAATACCAACTTAAAAACTTCATTATTTCTGGACGAAATAGATGATTTTTTTTCTCAACTTCTGATTCATATTCAAATTGATTTTTGCTCACCAATATGAAATGATTTGTCAAAATTGAATACCTAATGTTTTCAAATATTATATTATTTATTAGTTTATTATAATTGTATAGTTTTAGGTATTATTGTTAACTATACTTCTTTATACCAGAACTTGATTCTGACTGGAGGTAAAATTTTCAATAAATAAATAAATAAATAAATAAATAAATAAATAAATAAATAAATTAATAAATCACCAAATAAGTTATCCTATTTCATTAAAACGTTACAACAAGGAGGACAATACTTTATCTGATTCAGATCAAATCAATTTTCTATATACCTCTGTTATAACAGTTTGTTTCTTACGTTTAATTTTTTTATTTGTTTTGTATTTTTGTTGTTCATTTTTACTATTCGTTCCTGTTTTTTATATACTCAATTTTCATAAGTATCTATGTTAATGTATTTTGTGATATTCGTGTTTTTTTGAATTGAGAATCAGGAATATGGTTATTTTTGCATGAGAATGTTCGTTTTGTTTGTTTATATTTTGTTGGAACTAGGTGACTTTTCTTTTTACTGAAAGTTTTCTTGGGATTCGTATAGCATAAAATAGATCTTCAACAGATCTATTGAAATCTACTGAATTTTTGACAAGGTATTCGCTGATGGAATAAAAATCTAACTGGCAACCATGGTCCGCGCGGAGAGTGAGTTGACAACGACTGTCATTTGTTTATGTCAAATTGGTTATTCACGAAATTTGATAGATTTCACGTGTTAATAGGACCGTTATGTGAATATAAGTGTTCGAGGTCGATAAAAAATGTAATATGCACCTCGGCGAAAAACTGTCTATTGTCTCTCCTGATTGCTAGCCTCGACTATCAATTTGCAGACTCGACTATAATAGACAGTGTTTCGACCTTGGTACATTAATAACTATTATGAAAAATTGTTATGCTTAAAAGAAACACAAACTTTACAAAAACAATCATGGAGCATTCGCCTTTGTTTGCTCTGTCATTGTCTACTTTATTTGAATGCCCAATGATGGGCTTATGAAAGCCCGAAACATGTACCTTTAATAATATTTGATCATTTCAATAGAAGTATATAACAAACAAAAAATGGGCTCAAAGCTTCATATTCATCCGGAAAGTCTGATGATTCTTCTTTTCTTATTATTTGACGGAATACCGCTATATTTTCATGTAATACCAATAGTGGAAGGAGAAGATGGTGTGCTCAACAGAAAGCTTGAACTCGTCTTGTTCTGAGCATTACGTCAGCTGGGATATAACTGTCATTGTTATTATTTGTTTTCGTGATTGATGTCTCGAACTTCAGATATTATATAAGTACTAAAATTGAATGAAATAAATCCCCACTTTTTTCGTTTCTGGCTATGGAAATTCCAACTAACATACAAAAGGCACAGATATTGAATTTTTCTGCTTTTCCAAGAATGGAGACCTAATGAAACGATGGGAGCTTGCTGTCGACAGAATATAAACTCAAATAATGGTACCTACATTTTATTCCTTATATCCTCATTCCAAAATATTCACCTATCATATTATCATCACATTCATATTACAGCACGTATTTCTCCATAACATTTCCATGCAAAATGTTCCCAAACAAGTGCGAAAATACGGTTTTTGAATTACACACTTCCAAAAAATCAGAAATATTTGAGAAACAAGATGCCATTCCTACAGAACATCTTCCGATTATCAAGTCAGAGGTAATTGAAAATGAATTCAAAACTCTTAATTTCTCACAAAATATAAATTGCAGCAAAGTTTTGAATAACAAAACGGCAAAAATTGATACTCCTGTTGTCGATGTCGGAGCAGAAGCAACGTCAACGTCGTTAACTGCTGAATTTTAATCTGTCAGAATCGACACAGTAGTGGATCATTCAGATGGGATTGGCAATGCATGATAATTCGTATGTATTTGCTATTTGCGATTGCGAATTACCTCAAGATCACAATTTCCAGAATCAATGAAATAGTAAAATCGAAGGAATCGGTACCTGTTTATATAAATTGAATTATTTATAAACAGATCGAGAAACTTATAGAAATTTCAATGAACATGATTGAATTCATTGCGCACGCCCACGCAACGGTATCTGTTTGTGACTAGCAGCTGATGTTGGTATCCCAGATGACGTCACAAAATATGCGCGTAGGCACACCATCTTCTACTTCCACTATGGTAATACCTAATTATTCAACACAATATTCAATATAGTTTTCAAAATATCAAAAGACCCACAACTGGAACATGAGTAATAAAACGTGCATTGTCCTTTACCTATAGGGAATTACCACGAAATCGTTAATACAGGGAAATTAGGTAGGTATAATACTAGAAAAATTTTTACGCGCTCTTTATTTCTAATTTATTCCGGACTCATTGTAGGTAGCTCAATAATTTTCTCACTATTTAATTGATGTATTATCCTTGTTTGAATAACCAGTCAGTTTCATTTTAAACCGATTCCAAATTGGCAAAAAATAGTATTCCATAGTACAACGTCCTGATTTTCTTCAAAATTGAATTTCTTTACTACATCATAAATCGGTACTGATTCATCCTATAAATTTATTTTTTCACCGAAAGTTGGGTAGTTCATCAGGGATCAATTCGTCTCGATTGAGTGTGCTTCTAATTTTCAAAGTACCTTTCAATCTCAACCTACTAGTGTGACGTCAGCATCGAAGTAGAGGGCATAGACTACGGCCCGGTGAGATAGAGTAGGCCCTGTATCACATCCTGAAGTCCTGCGCATATATTATGAAACACCCTGTATAGATAACGAACAAGAGAGTTGCTGAGCTTCGGTTCTTGTGGCTTGGTTGAAATCTCTGTTTGTAGTGATGAAATCATCTAACACAGATTTAATTATAACAAATATTTCGGAAAATGAAATGGAATCATGTGAAATCTCAACCTACTAGAGTGACGTCAGCATCGGGGTAGTGAGGATAGACTACGGCCTACGGCCCACTCACCCTCATTCTTCTCCTCCTCCTGGATGATTCTCAACAACTTGTGCGGCTCCTCGAACACCCTCCTCTTGTGGACCTCATCGATCACCAAACGCGTCCTGCTCGCCACTCTATCCGAAATGAAATCCATCTGGGGAGGACCTCCCTCCGACGCCTGCGCTCTCGATGGGGCTGTAGACTCGACGATCTCCGTGGTCACGTCGTTCTCTTGCTTGTGGAACACTCGCACCGGGTGGTCGCCCATAACCTTAATATTAAAAGGAGGAAGGAAAGCTCAAAGTCATCTCCACAACTTTAATAATGATTATTATAATATACAGGGTGTCTCAGAATTAGCCGGCCAAACTTCACCAACGGCTTTAAGGACCAAAAATAGAAAAAAAAAACTGAAGATTATATTTCTAGAGTATTTCCGAAACTCCATGTGATAAAAAGATGCAATTTGGTACAATGGTACAAGAACTAAACTTTCCATCCATAATGCAGTGAAAATAAAATTATTTCAAGATTTCAATCAGGAGTGTATAAAACAGGGTGGGACTACATTAAATATTGCTCAAAATTTTTTGTATTTATACAGGGTGTTTCACAGGTGAAGGGAAATATTTCAATGGTAGATAGGGGTCACCAAGGTGGTTCTGAAAATACCATATTTGATAGGTCTTAGAGTTTTCTTAACGGAGATACAGGGCGATTTATCGATTTCGAATAATTATTCATTCGTCTATAAGTATGGTACTACTCAGTATATTCTTCCAGAATTTGGTATAGAGCTCAAACTTGGGACGTTGAATTCATTCACCTATCGGGCGAAGAGAAAATCCAGGTTCGGCTTCAGAAAAAATTCAAATTTATTCGAAATATTAAAATAACACACTGTATGTAATAATTGACAGAGTTCACCAAAGGAATCGTGAAGAGGAGGAAAAACTGAACTGGATTTGATGCTTTTTGTTTTCCAGCCACCAATTCTCATCGTAACAATCATAAACAGAAAGCTGAAAGTATGTCAATTTGAAGAGTATTGAAATTATGAAACCAGTGTCAATTATGATTATTCGGTATATTTCAGTCAAAAATCGCTCGAAAGAACTCACTAAGTCTCACAGTTTTTATAACGGAGATACAGGGTGAATTATCGTTTTTGAATAATTATTCACTCGTCCATAAGTATAAAACTACCCAGTAATATTTTCTCAAATATGGTATGTAGCTTACTTGGGACGATGGACTCATTAACCTATCAGGCGGAATTCGATAATTCACCCTCTATCTCTGTTATAAAGACTATGAGACTTTTCCTGAAGCTGAACCTGATAGGTCAATGAATCCATCGTCCCAAGTAAGCTCAATACCAAATTTGAGAAAATATTACTGCGATGGGTAGTTTAATACTCATGGACGAGTGATAATCCACCCTGTATCTCTGTTATAAAGACTGTGAGACTAAGTAAGTCCTTTCGAACGATCATTTAACAAGAATAAATCAAATAATCATAATTGAAAGTGGTTTCATAATTTTAATACTCTTGGGATTGACATACTTTTAGCTTCCTGTTTATGATTGTTACGATGAGAATTGGTGGCGGGAAAACAAAAAGCTTCAAATCCAGTTCAGTTTTTCCTCCTCTTCACAATTTCTTTGATGAACTTTGTCAATTATTACATACAGTGTGTTATTTTAATATTTCGAATAAATGTAAATTTTTCCTGAAGCCGAACCTGGATTTTCACTTCGCCCGATAAGTGAATGCATTCAACGTCCCAAGTTTAAGCTCCATTCCAAATTTTAGAAAAATATACTGGGTAGTTCAATACTTATAGACAAATGAATAATTATTCGAAATCGATAAATCGCCCTGTATCTCCGTTATAAAAACTCTAAGACCTATCAAATATGGTATTTTCAGAACCACCTTGGTGACCCCTATCTACCATTGAAATATTTCCCTTCACCTGTGAAACACCCTGTATTTTTCGACAATTTAATCTCGAATTTTGAAATTTCCACCTCTTTACAAAAAAAAGGCACTTATGTTCCGTGACGATCAGATGTATTGTTATCGAGTAAAAGCAGTTTAAAAATATTGTTACATCTCAGATATTATGCATAACATTGCAATGAGACGTAGTGGAAATGAAAAAAAAAGTACAAGAATTGAAGTAATGTTTTCATCATCATTTTTCTATTTTTCGTGTTTTATGAGATTGTTTGATGAAAAAAAAAGTAGTTGATGAACAGAACTTAGTTGATTTTATTTTAACCACTCTGATTTGAAAATTGGCAACGTTATGCATAAAATGTGAGAGCATCATTATTTTTAAATAGATTTAACTCGAAAATGATACATCTGATCGATGCGGAACAGGAGCACCTTTTTTGTGAAACGGTGTGGATTTTCATAATCCGAGATTAAATTGTTGAAAAATATGCATACGAAAAAGTTTGAGCAATATTCAACGTATAATACACTCCTGGATGGAACCCTGAAATGATTTTATGTTCACCGCATTGGACATGAAATGTTTATTTCCTGTACCAGATTACATCATTTTATCACGTGGCGTTTCGGAAATATTCAAGAAACATCATCTTCAGGAGCCCCCTTTCAGGGGGCCATAGCTTCCTTAGGAGACATTTATCGACTCAAGTTCATTGGAACTTGTCTTCCTATTTTTGGTCGATGAAGCCGGCGGTGAATATTGGCAGGCTAATTTCGGAACACCCTGTATAATGAATTTAATGATGTAGTCAATCAAAGGGACATGTTTCGGACTTATAAAAGTCCATCTTCAGCCGCATTTTAGAAGTTAATGGAGGTGAACATTATATGTTTTCAAAAAGGAAGCCGATGTCTGTCATCATAATATCGTGATTGATAACAAATGAGTTTTTATATGAGAATAAACGGGTTTTCATTAAAAGTGAAGGGCCCCGTGCCCTAAGAACACGCATGTTAAGTTGATTTCTATCGGCCAATCTTGGTCCCTAGTTCTAGAATTCATGGTATGTTGTTCTGTGATACCTTGTATATCATGAGATCAAAGGTTCATCACACGCGGCTGGAAATTGATACCTTTGCTCCCTTGATATACAGGGTGTTTCTTAAGTACGTGTAGAAAATTCAGGAGCATGTTGCTGGCGTCAAAATATGAAAAGTTCGGAAAAATATATGTCCGAAAGTTACTCGTTCCTGAGATACAAAGTGTATAAGTTGAATTCTCATTTTTGTTTTTTGTTAATACATTTCAATATAATTGTGATATTCAAAAAAAGTTTGGTATCTTGAGATATTTTTCCTTGACAATATTAAATTTTCTGTTAGTTTGTCTATTTCGTGGGGGTGGCGCCACCTACATGTCTTTTGAGTCTTTTGGAAAGTCATAACTTTTTTGTGCGTACCTGTATCAGGTTATATAGTAGAAACATAGATTTCTAGAATACTTTTGTGTAAAAAATAGATTCCTGGTAGAGGTCGCAGCGAGCAACTGTTTTCGAGTTATTGGGGTTTGAAATAATCAATGCAAGTAAATTGGAATGACAAGAAGTTGGAATTCGAGTATTTTCCTTCAATTTCATTTTGAAATAGGCATCGAGTGTTATTACAATTTAAATTTAATACTAATAATAATAACAGTAATCAAGACCAAATCAATACTAAAACAGTTACTGGAGGGAATTGATTGGAGTAATTGTTCATAGTGGGCAAAAAAGTAGATACAAAGAAATAAGAATCATCTTTGCCTTAATTCTAATGTAGAATTGTTGATTCCATGATATACAAGGTATCCCAGAACAACGTACCATAAGTTCTAGAACTAGAGACCAAAATAGGCCGATAGAAATAAACTTAACACTATACGAAAATGCACCGTTGAGCAATGATAGGGCGATAAAGAACAATTTTATATCCAGAAGTGCCCCAATATTTCTAAATCCTTGAAAGGTACTGCTCAGAAATTCGTAGGGCAGTTTACTATAGTGAATATGCATGGAAAACATATCATACCAATTCCATTGATATACAGGGAGTTACATATTTCGCATTCTCTTTGATAAAAATTAATGTAACTGTTTTTGGAGTACGGCACATCTCACTGTTTTCAAACTGCAGTGTTTTTATAACTTCTTTTGGTATTCGAAATATCTAACAAAATTAATTTTGGTGCTCCTCCATACTTATTTATGATTAGGACGATTATCATCATATCATGTTCTGCAAGTTTTTCCCTCATTTGTGTAGAGTTATTCACCACAATAATCATCTTCATGAACTACTTCATCCTATGATAATGTTGTTGGTCATCCTCAAATTTATTAATTTTTTCTCGAATAAAGTTGTTCTACCAGAAATCTTGAATTGATATTTGGGAATGACCAGCTCCCAAATCATATGATGAAGAGCTTGCGAATTGCTCAACATGAATATTGCGGTCAATAACTCAACACAAATGAGGTAGAAACGAGCAAATCATGATCATTCTAACATCACAAGCGAGTCGTATGGAGATTCAATTGATTTTGACATTCTTTGAAATATCAAAAGGTGGTTAGTGACGTACTCCAAAAAAGGTTGTAACGTAAAATTTTACCTTTTACACTGCACCTGGTAGCTTTTCGTCGGCGGCACAGAATGTTTCGGCAGCGTACATACATATGTACGCTGGTGTCGGCGGAATATGGGTGTGGGTTGATATCTTTGCTAATTCTCAGATGAATCAACACTCAAAACTTTCAACTAGATAACATTTGGAATTTATAAGAATATATTTATATTTCTGTACTTTATTTTTGAACGCCACTGATTCTTTTAGAACATAGTTGGAATATGTCTAGGATACAATCAGAAACCTATAGGTTGAGTTCAGAGAGAGATATCAGTAAAAACATAGAAATTTCAACAATACATACAAATTTAATGATGAAATTGTTTTTCTTGAAATACATTAGCAATAATTATTACATACATTGGTAGAATATTATGGATACTTTTCAATTCTTGATTTCATCAGATATTATAGTTATAATATTTCATTGACATTTTGTTCAATTCCCTATGAGTAAACCCATTTCGAAGAAGATTGTTGTTGGACTATAATAAGCTATATGATATTGATTATACCCTGAAAATTCATGAATTTTGGGGAGTCTTATCGCGCATTTTTCGCTAAATGAAATGTTTCATGTCCACTGCTAATGGTTTCAGAAATTTAAGTAGGGTTTGAACATATCATGTGTTGAAATTTGAAAAGTTATAACTCCATAATAATCAATATGTAAATATGTAAAAATTATGTAAAACTAATAATCAATGGGCTTAATACTGAAAAAACCTGAGTTATCCAACATGCAGGTATCTGCTAGATGTCGACTGTTACTGGACATGGAAGATGATCACAAGATGGCGACATTGAAGGGCACCTTAAAAATTGGTGGCTGGAGGATTCAAGCTTGCATCTCAAGTTCGAGATGACTCAGAAACCTGCGGCTACTGAAGGGGTTCCTTGAGGTTGGAGAAAATAAACCATGGTCTCCACGACGTTCGCAAGATTGATAGGGCCCCCTGCTGCATAAATAACACTTAATTGAGATACGGGACACGTGGATGGGCGGCCTTCATCACTCCAACATAAAACCCTAAAATAAATTATAGGGCGTACCGAGACCGCCTGGATCACTGATGGGGAGACATAATAACTCACCTCTTTTGGATCGAGGGTTCTAACAAAAAAAACTGGTTTAACATTGGGGAACAGAAACGTGGCGATGAGGGTCCCGTCGGTATAAGGGTCACGTGGTCGAAGTCGGGACGTCTGGGTCTCTTAATCTGCATTTGGACAACTCGGTTAGGCCCCATAAGGATGAGCAGAATAAATAGTGCCTTGAAGGGATGAATATTTTCAGCATCGAAATGCTATCAAAAGATTTAAAAAAACCATGCTAGTTCGCGTGCTGCTGCTGCGAGAACAACCACCTTGGGAGAAAAATCATGGCCTACTGAGAAATGTCTTCGCCGGAAAGCGGAACCCGAAATCGATACGACCTTGACATTGACACAGTTTTGTCAGTCATGACCTAATTTTACTCGATAGATCTAACGAACACCAAGAGATGGCGACAGCGAAAATGCCAAAATCCTTACATAGTTGAGTATGCTTTGAAGAACGTCCGAATGCTAAAATCCTTGCATAGTGGAGTCCCTTTCGAGCAAGGTCTGAACGAGTACGAGGTATCGGAATCAAGATATTCATGCGTAGAACGACTAATTCATGGCAGAGGAATTCGCCAAATACGAAGGAAGAATAAGAGTAGAAATTGTCTAACGGTCAGTACGGTCACAAGATCACGACATAACCACTTTTCTATCGATACTTCCACGGGAAATGTGCTTCGGAAATCTCTGCTATCATCCCTTCACTAGCAATACCAGTCAGGCAAACTAGACAAGCCCAGTCAGCACATCCTTTCGTTGTCAACCTCGAAAGATGCCGAACAGCACTTTATCAAAACTCCTTCATCCATAGAACAGCTAGGCTCTGGAACTCATTGCCTGAGAAAGTATTCCCAACAACATATAATCTCCAGAAGTTCAAAAAAAATTCCAATACCTACCTCCTATCCCTATCCTCCCTAGGAACGCACGATGTTCTTTGAACATTATAGGGATTCCCTTTCGTGCGCTCCAAGCGATAACAAAAAAAACAACAAAAAAACAAAAAAACAAAAAAAAAAAAAAAAAAAAAAAAAAAAAAAGCAGTGAAGAAGAACACATTGGATATTAAATAACTCGCTGGGATATTTATGAAAAGCAATGAAAGGATATTTCAACCAATTAAAAACAACTATATCTAACTATACAATATTTACATTTAAACACGGGAGGAGTGTATCGTACGTATCTTTGTTATTCCTTGTCTGATTTTTAGTGTTTGTTTGTTGTGAATTCTTATGATTGTTGTTTTCTTTATTTTCAGGAGAGCTATTGGAGAGACAGAACTATGATAATTATCATTGGATAAAAGACTACCACAAGCAGATTCATAATATTATATGGTCCACGTATCATACAGAAAGATTCAGGTAGGATATTTCATTAGATAATATATTTGTGTTGCTTCTCATTCATTCATTTCATTCAGATTGATTTTATATTCAATTTGTTTCAGGATACCGTCAACTCACGAGACACAAGGTGAAGCAACATGGTATACAGTGTATTCAACTAGACACACCTCTTTGAACAATGTTACAAAATATTCAATAAAAGTGTCTGACTTTTATAGTGTTTCCTTTGAGAGTTTTATCTGGAATTATAGTAGAAGATCACGTAGAAAAGTAACGTTTTGATGTAGGCTAGTTATATTAGAAAATAAGAACGTTACAAGTTACATTAATGTTTATGAAAGAGAATGCACTACCGAACTCTCTGTACATTGATTGAAATGGTAGGACATGTTTTCCATGCACATTCCCTATAGTAAATTGCCCTACGAATTTAAGAGCAGTACCTTTCAAGAATCTCGAAATATTGAAGGAAATCTGTAAATAAAATTGTTTTTCATCGCCCTCTCACGGGTCAACGGTGCATTTTCTTATAGAGGTTTATTTCAATCGGGCTATTTTGGTTACTCGTTCACCCTGTAAAATTGTACGTTGTTTTGGGACACCTTGTATATCATGGGAGCAAAGGTGCATTTCCTCCCATGTGTGTTTAAACTTCACACGCGGCAGAAGTTTGATACCTTTGGTCCCTTGAAATATAAATAGCTATTATCTACCTCTGATGACGTCATGGATCGCTTCGACTTCGGGATGGCGATGCGGCAGGGCAGGTTGCGCGTGCTGCTTTTCAAGGCCGTGGTGCCTTTCACGGTGATTTCCCTAAACATTGCCTTCAGTAGGATTATTTTCGTTATAGGATCGTATTCCATTTTGGAGGAATAGAAATCTTCAAAGTTTGTAAAAGTGGCTGGTTTCAGGTTCGATGGAATTATTTCCTTGAGGATTTTGTTGATGTCGAAGCGTCCAATGGTAGAGAATAATTTGTAGGTTAGGTTGATGTAATCTCTTGGGAAACTGAGATTCAACTGCGTTGCCTCATGTTTTAGATCGAGTTGTCGTGTGAAATTCGGAATTAAAAATGGGCAAGTCATTATTTGCGGTGCTTGTACTTTGATAAGCCTGGGAGTCATTTTAGGTAGTCGTGTTTCCAGTTGATTAAGCGAAGAAATTTGCTTTTCATCTCCAACTTCTGCTTTGATTTGTTTGTTTTTCAATATAGCAGCTCGTTGCCTTTCAATCATTTTTGCTGTTATACTAGAAGTGAAGTGTGAAGAACTTTCAACTGGTTGCGAATCCACTTGTTCACTCTTTTGCAAACTTTTTGCTTTGTAGCTGAAAAAATACTAAATTAATCAATATTGTAAAAAAAACTTACTTCCGAAATTTAAATCAGTTTTCAAATTGATAGAAAATATATGTAGGACATTTCATTGGAAGAGGGACAAAATTTTACTGTGGATAAGAGAAATAAATAACATCAGAGTATTAGAAACGAGTATCTGGGTGAATATGACGTGATCACCTATATAGCGAAATATTGAAACGAAAAATAGTAGGAAGAGGCAACAAAGTGGAATAGGATAAAGAAATTTCGATGAAAGTATTTTGAAAATATCATTGAGTATATAGTTCATAATGCCTTCTCGATGAACATTGCCTTTAGTATAAATAGTTTTTTTCATAGGTCCGTATTCGGTCACGAAGGAATAGAAAATTTCAGGATTTTTTTTCATGTTCTGGTTCCCCGAAAAGGGATATCCTGTAATTTTCAGTGAGAACAAAGGAAAATGAGGTAAGAATTGGTGTTCTTCTTGAAGTACTGGCTGGTTTCAGGTTCAATGGAATTATTTTACTCGGGACTTTGTTGGTATCAAAGCGACCATTATTATCGAAATGTTTGTAGGTTCGCTCGAAATTATTTATTGGGAAGGTTAGACGGAACTGTGTTGCCTCATGTTTTAGATCGAGCTTTCGTGGAAAATTCGGTAATAGTATTTGCGGAGTTTTGGAGATGTCTTCGCAAGTCGTGTTTCCAGTTGATTCAGCAAAGAAGTTTGTTATCTTCAACTTCTGCTTTGATTTGTTCATTTTTTAATATAGCAGTGCGTTGCCTTTTCATCATTTTTGCTGTTACAATAGAAGTGACGTTTAAAGAAGTTTCAACTGGTTGCGAGCACACTCGTTTATTCCTTTGCAAAGATTTTCTTTGTAGCTTAAAAATTAATCCTGAAGATTTTAATTAATAAAGATTGTACTGAATAGAGTTAATTCCAAAATCTTATTTTTCAAATTGATGGAAAGCCAATGTGGGAAATTTCATTGAAAGAGGGACAAACGGTTACTGTGAATGAGAAAAAAAAACTATCAAAGTATTAGAAACGAGTTTCTGGGTGAATGTCACTTGATCATTGGAATAGCGACAAATTGAAAAAAAAGTATGAAGAGGCATCAAAGTGGGGTTAGATAAAGAGATGAAGGTATTTTGAAAAAGTTGTTGAGAATTTAGTCCATAGTGCCTTTCATGGTAATCTTGCTAAACATTGCCTTTAGTAGCGCTAGTTTCGTTTTAGCATGGTGTTCAGTCATGGAGCAATAGAAAGCTCCGAAGTTTGTAGTAGGCTGGCTTCAGATTCGAAAGATATATTTCGATGAGGATTTTGTTGATGTCGAAGCGTGAAATTAATTCGAAGTCTTAGACTTCGTATATGCAAGTCGCTGAACTATCTAGGAATATCCTTCTTGTAAATAATCAAGGATTTTACCTTTGATAACTGATTACTAACATTTATTTGTGAAGTACTTATTAAATATCAATGATATTTCAGCAATATGAAATTCGAGATCCACCATTGGGATTTCGGAAACTATAGGAGATACAGAGATGGCTGAATTAGGGCAAAGTTGAGAATCAATGTGAATGAAAATGTCTGTCGAGAAAAATTTGAAATTACGAGTATTTCCGGAGAAATACGATGAATCAGAAAGTTTGTTAGATCATTTTTATATTTTTTGCGTTATTTGTCGAAGCATATCAAAATAGAAAGCACATTCACATTGCCACTTTTCCCTGCTATACGATGACGTTTTCAGATTCACTATCCGACGTTTCGATTTTACGCTACCATCATCAACTTGAGTTTTTTTTCATGAAGTTATATTCCTTATAATATCATGGTGAATCTGAGAATGTCACAGTATAGCAGAAAAGAAGTGGCAATTTTGAAATTTTCCAACAAATAACAAAACTTTTTTTTTTGTATAATACTACATACTTTTATTATTCTCGATGTTTTGGGATTTTCTCTCCTCGTTTCTATAAAATAAAAACACGAGTATTATTTAAATATACCTGTAGTGAGGACAAATCAGATGCTTTGCCAAAAAAATGCCACTGCGTTTAAAAATTTGCCTATCAAAGATCCTGAAAGAAAACTTCCTTTGCTTGTCAGTGACAGTTTGTTTTGAAAAAGGTTTGGAAAAGAGGAATATATATATAAAAAATATCGACTTTTCACTCAACTTTGGACGTTTTGGGAACTAATCTCCTCCCGTTTTCAAGATAAAAGATGGAAAATATTTTTCTTACGAAATGTCAACAGGTTTTGAAACTTTTCAGTGACAAATGGTGATGTTGGCAAACAAATGAGTTGCAGGATGTTTTCATTGATTAATCCTGAGTTTACCATTTTCATGTTCAGATTTTAGTAGTGGATACAATGTTGTATATCAACAGAACAGGAAACAATGCTATTGTCTCCGTTCAGACTAATACAAGCGGATTCCTTGATTTCTCTCTTTTGGTTATCTCTTTCTCCAATGATTTTGATATCATTCCACTCTGCCATATGTTATCCATCTTCATATTTTTAGTCAAATAAAATTTAATAATCTTTGTATCTCGTATAGTTCTCGAGATCGAATTTGAATTACCCGTTATACTTACACCATGGACCGTTGTCTTCCTATGTCGACTTTCTCAGCACCTATGACACCTTTGGATGTCAATTTTTTAAGGGCCATTCGACACGAGTTCCTATCGACTCCAACCATTTTGTTCAGTTCGAATAGAGAACATCCTGCGGCACCCTTCGAATATATGTGGTAATAAAGTTCCTTCAAAAATTCCATGTTGTTGAACGTGCTTCCGATCATCTTGTCTTCCTCCTCTATAATAGTAATTTATACACCAAGGTACTAAAGAATATCATTATTACCCAGGGACCGAGATTATATACCGAGGCTTCAGCCGAGGGGTATAAGGTCCCGTGGTAATTTTTTCCACCACTAGCAATATATTTCAATCATTTCAGTTCTGTGGAACAGAAATATGCACCAATTATCAATATAAAAGCCCTATTTTCAATAATTAGCAATGACCATGACAGTATATGTGGCAAGTCGTTATTGATATTGATAGATATCTACTAGATTCGACTGCCATTAATAGGAATCTTGCATCGAAAGAGTGAATTCGGGTTAATTATAACAGAGGTGGCTATGTCTTTATCGACTAGTGGTTAATGAAATTACGAAAACTAAAAACACACTTTATGCCTAGAGAAGGAGAAGATAATGGTAGGCTTTATAGCTAGTGGTGGAAAAAATATCATAATTGATCGTACAAAGAGCAAAAGTGAATTCTAGAGTTCCCTAATGGGTTTGAGGTTTTTGTTTCACGTTTTTGTATATTTTTATAAGAACTAATTGACCATAAATATAGCAGGTACTAAAGTTGCTTCATTTGCTTCATTACGTGATCAGAATGGGGTTGTACACGCTAATCTAATTCACGCCAAAAACCTCCATATTGATTATTCCGTGTATAAACAGTATTTGATGCAATCATTCGTAATTTAAATTCATCGATAATATTTTTTTTTCAATAATGAAATTCGGCACCTTCGAAAAACGCTACTTTAAATAACGTCATGAACCGAACTGAAAGTCATAGTTATCTGAATTCTGGCTTTCGCATAAAAAGTAGGTCCACATATTTCGACGCTACCAGATTTTTAACTAGTAAGTGTTCTCTAATAATCACTTATTGATGCTTAATTACCTGCAAGATGCTCCAGTAACAATAACAATATCCTAGTGATCCTAATAATGATCGAGGTTTTATTTGAATTATTTTGTGGCAATGGGACCGTATTGCCTAGAGTTCCCAGAAATACAAGAAGAGGAAAAGAAGGACTAACAAAACAAAATATATCAGCATATTTGATGATCAATATTTTGTCATCAAAACAAATAACTACTAATAAAATCAATTTAAAAAAGTAATCAAGTAGGTTATGATATGACAGCGTCGTTTGTGAAGTTTTTACATTAATAATTATGGTATTAAACATTATAACAAACATGAATGAAATGAGACAAAAATGGTATCACAAACATAGGATAGTGGTTCGCACAGCGTGAAAAACTATGTATGTATAATTCATTGTAGCATGTCATAATACTACTGTAGGTTATAGTATGCCTTCTGCAATAATGCCGTTTCAATTCATATTTGAATATCTTCAGACAATTGATCTTCTGATATACTATTGGCAGATAATTATACGGGTGATTCCGGTTTCAAGGTACAAACTGAAATGGGTGATGAATCTAATCATTTTGATTAAAAATGTGTGCATAAATATGTGTCCGATCTCGATCAGTAGCGGAGTTACAGGGGGTCAAAGTTTAATAATTGGTTTCTATTAATTGAGATATCTCGCTCACTTCTAAATGATATCAATTTGAAATTTGGTGTGGTCAATACTTTCTAGAAGATCATCATATAAAACATTTCAAAGATTTTTTAAATCCACAGGATGATACGTTTTTGAGGTAGAGGCTTCATTATTCCCCACAAAGTCTTTTGTAGTAGGCGTCTGACATCTTCCAGTTACCAAATAGGGTACCATCGTTCAATTTAAAGAATTCATCTGCATCTGAATTTTTTTCGAGACACGCCCCGTTTTTGAGATAAATAAGCATATCCGTGCAATAACTTGTTAATTTTGCCTATTATGATTCGCTTAATGCAAAAAATGAACCAAATTTCAATCTGAATCAGAAGCTGGGATATAGGGAGTAAAAGGTTAGGTTGCTTTTAACCGAGCAAATCCACGACGACGCGGAAAATTCGTGTTGAGCCACTGGTTGAACCCCATCCAGTTGAATCCATATTCCTCATCCAATATCTTTTTTGATATCATTTATTTCGAAAAAATCAAAAAATAAAATAGCATTCAACTTGCCCGGAAGAATCGTCTTGCAGATTATTTTTTTGTGCATTCCATTATTGTTAACTAATTTTGTACAAGAATGAAATTAAAGAGAAAAATACAAATAACATTAACATGTTTTAGAGCGGATATGCTTATCTATCTCGAAAACAGTTCGTTTCTCGGAAAAAATTGAGAAGCTATAAAAGACTCTAAATTGAACGATCCACCCTATTTGGAAAAATTTGAGAGGCGTACTACGAAAAAGTTTGGGGGAATAAAGCAGTCTATACCTTCGAAAACGTAGATTTAAAAAATCTCTAAAACGCTTGAAATGATGAATTCCCATAGAGTATTAACCACACCAAATTTCTACAGAAGTAGGCGAGATATTTTAATTAATGGGAACAATTGATTAAACTTTGACCCCCTATAGATCCGCTACTGATCGATATCGTTAATAGAAACTTTCTTGATTGTAATGATGAGATCTACAGGGTGATTCATAGAAAATGCGCATAGAGTGATAGTAGATGAAGGACACCGAGGTGCTTCTGAATAATCTATATTTCATAGGTCTATCATTCTTTGAGTAAGATACAGGGTGATTTATTAATTTTCCCCATTCTTTCAATTAACCCATTTTTGGTCAATGGTGCACCGGCCTAAAACTCATTTTTTTTCAGTAATTCTCTTCTAAATCGCCTGAACTCCAGATTCTTATTGATAAAAGTGATGTTGGTCGATGACGTTTCTCATATCAATACCTTTTTTTATCGTGAGATATATTTTTGAACTGGTAAAGAAAATATGGTAATTTTCATTCATGCCACACACTTATGGAAAATTGATAATTAAAAATATCAGTATCTCACACATCGCATTTGTCTTAGCATGAAAATATTACCAAAATAGCCCCTTTTCTCTGACAATAGTTGTGATACCTCTGTTATTTTCCAAAAACAAAAAATGAGCAGGTAAAAAGCATTGGTGCGTATACGCACCATTGGCGCGATAGATGAACAATATTATACCTAGAGTCCCTGTATATAACTTAGACAAGAGTCCGGACACAAAACTGACAGCCGTTGGGGTTTTTAATATTTTGTTTCATTTGGTTTGCCCACCTGACAATGTGACGAAACACCATAGTCGTCCCGCCCGCTTCTTTTAATTATTCCGAATGTCTGTCACTGTCACTTTGAAATTTTATGACCTGCTGCGTACATTATTGCGATAATTCATTAGAAAAGGGATTCAAGTTATTCAATTCTCCGAATGATCCTTCAAAGACAATGTCATGGAAGAATGCAATGAAACGTCCAGAATGGAAATTTAATTTCAAGAAATCCGCAATATGTGAGGTAAATATTCAAATTTACTTGTGAAAACAGTACAAAATGAATGAATTTTAGGCCCATTTTGATAGAGATTTTTTCAAGCTGATGGATTTCAAATTGAAAGAGTCTGCTGTGCCGTCAATTTATGGAATAGAGACGTTCAAAAAAAGAGTCTCGTCGTCATCGTATTGGGAATTACTGAATGATACGTTCGCAGAGAAAGAAAGTGAGAATGAGATGATGCGGAAAGAAATTGAAAGTTTGAAATCAAAATTAGAAGATTTAGGGAAACTGCAATGTGCTATATCATCAGTCCACGGTGTTATTAATTCAGATCAAATTCAAAATGTACAGGTGAATGTAGACTGCAGGAAGAGGTGGGAAACACAATTAATAAAGCACTCGCTATTAAATATATTGTTGTTTTGATTTTGTCACTTTTATTTCTGATGAGTGTTATTAAATTGAGAGAATCGGAGAAAATTATATTGAAACAATTATATATATCTTCTATTTTTTTATATCCCAACAGAAAACAACTATATTTTCTTGGCTATATGTGATACCACGTAGAACACTTGAATTATCTTTCTTATATCTAATGAAGTGAAGAAATATCTGATGACAAAAATTTGCAATAGCCATCTCAGCAATTGATTATGAAAATTATCGATTCGAAATTTGAACACCCTGTTGTTCATTATTCGAAAATCTAATAGTTATTCTAGTTAAAATAGCCCTATTTCTCACTTCTACTTACGGCTATGAACGGTTTGACAAATAATCTAACCCTCAAAAGGGTTTCTGACAATCATTGATACTAGGGGAATTGAGAAGACAGAGCTCGATATATATGTCTTATTCCTTTATTCAATCATCAATGCATTTTTTGAAAACAGAAAAGGACAGAAGTATAGCTGTGTCCGGACTCTTGTCTAAGTTATATACAGGGACTCTAATTATACCTATATGAACCGTATGGTCCGTACGTGTAAATCTGCACATAGGCATGTGAAACGGCTGTAAGGTACAAGTGCAATTCGTGTCTCTTCCATCAGTGTTGTTTTGGATTTGTACTGAAGTTCAAGAAAAGAGAAAGGGGTGCTTATGACTTTGCCGTTCACGAAAACATTCAACTCACTCTTGTGAGATGGAATGATAATGCTATTGTCACTGTCGCGAGCAACGACTTTTCTGTGGAGCCTTTGGCAAGTACTAAGAGGTTCAACAGAGAAGAACGCAAAGATGTTCAAATTCCACAGCCTGATATCGTCCCCTATAAGGCAGAGTATCTTAAGCACCATATAGTCAATTTTTCAGGAGGGACCAAAAACTTAATGAAATGTCCCCAGATGAGAGGATCTTGGTAATTTCAGTTGGGTATCCGTATGTTAGCATTCTCGACTTCACTATCCAATGGAAATCAAAATTAGTTTTGTATTTGTCCATGAAATGGCGCTTAAGATATTGAATTCCGTCCATAATCAGTGTCTAGTGGTGCTTACGATATTTCAAATTGGAGTTTACGATAATCTGTCACATCCTTGATAATATTGAGTGATCAAGTAATGATGTCATAAGTATCTTAAGCACCATTTTCTTCAGAATAAA